GACTTCCCTTTTTCGAGAAAAGAGATTTCTTCAAAATTGATAGCAGTCGTGTATATTATTAGCTTTAAAGATTTTCGACAGGTTATATTGCCCTTTATATTTTACGGTTGTTTGGAAATATAGGCGAGAGTTATATTGCAAACAACCGTTTACATACGTCCATGTAACCAGTCAGAAATATTTAAAACGAATTTATTTAGCAAGCATTTTTAGAAAACAAGAGGGCCATGATGGCCCTGGATCGCTCACCTGACACAACCGCATCCAAGCAATGTCTTAAACAAGCACCATGACCAAGTTTGATGCGACTGAGTCAAATATGTGACCTCTAGTGTGTTATAAAGATTTTTCAATATTTGGGCAATGTGACCTAATTTTTGACCGGACACGACCCATCAAAACAACCTTCCTGACCAATTTCCAGGAAATTTGGATGAAAACTGCAGCCACTAGAGTGTTAACAAGCTTTTTCTATTTTTAGCTCCTGTGACCTTGTTTTTGACCGGAGATGACCCATCTTCGAACTTGACCTAGAAATCATCAAAACAACTTTCCTGACAAATTTCCAGAATGTTTGGATGAAAACTGCAGCCTCTAGAGTGTTAACAAGCTTTTTCTATTTTTAGCTCCTGTGACCTAGTTTTTGACCTGAGATAACCCATCTTCGAACTCGATCTGTATTTCATTGAGACAAACATTCTAACAAAGTTTGATGATGATCCAATCAAAACTGTGACTGCTAGACTGTTAACAACCCAATTATTAGAGTGTTAACAAGCTTTTTCTATTTTTAGCTCCTGTGACCTAGTTTTTGACCGGAGATGACCCATCTTCGAACTTGACCTAGATATCATCAAAACAACCTTCCTGACAAATTTCCAAAATATTTGGATGAAAACTGCAGCCACTAGAGTGTTAACAAGCTTTTTCTATTTTTAGCTCCTGTGACCTAGTTTTTGACCGGAGATGACCCATCTTCAAACTTGACCTAGATATCATCAAAACAACCTTCCTGACAAATTTCCAGAATATTTGGATGAAAACTGCAGCCACTAGAGTGTTAACAAGCTTTTTCTATTTTTAGCTCCTGTGACCTAGTTTTTGACCGGAGATGACCCATCTTCAAACTTGACCTAGATATCATCAAAACAACCTTCCTGACAAATTTCCAGAATATTTGGATGAAAACTGCAGCCACTAGAGTGTTAACAAGCTTTTTCTATTTTTAGCTCCTGTGACCTAGTTTTTGACCGGAGATGACCCATCTTCAAACTTGACCTAGAAATCATCAAAACAACTTTCCTGACAAATTTCCAGAATATTTGGATGAAAACTGCAGTCACTAGAGTGTTAACAAGCTTTTTCTATTTTTAGCTCCTGTGACCTAGTTTTTGACCGAAGATGACCCATTTTTAAACTTGACCTAGATATCATTAAAACAACCTTCCCGACAAATTTCCAGAATATTTGGATGAAAACTGCAGCCTCTAGAGTGTTAACAAGATTTTTCTATTTTTAGCTCCTGTGACCTAGTTTTTGACCCGAGATAACCCATCTTCGAACTCGAACTGTATTTCATTGACACAAACATTCTGACAAAGTTTGATGATGATCCAATCAAAACTGTGACTGCTAGACTGTTAACAACCCAATTGTTGACGACGCACGACGACGGACGCCGGACATAGCCCCATCACTATACCTCACCTTGACCACTTCGTGGTCAGGTGAGCTAAAAAATGAGATGTTTTCATATGAAAGCAGCCGTGTAATAAATATCTTTTTATACACCTACTGAAATACACTCAAATCTTGAAGCGCGATTACTCTTCAACGGATAGAAAAATCCGTGTGATGTTAGTGACAAATACCGTTCCATATATGGAAGTGCAGGAATATTTTTCAAGTTGGCTCCCATTTTAGCTGTGTGTTACGTAAGATTTGGAAACGGGAACCAAAACTATTAAAGGCGTGGCCTCTTTTGCAAAAATAACTTAATCATCCGTCATTCGTGACAGCTTAAATAACTTAGAGAAGTATATAATTTTTGTCTTAAAACGTGAAAGTATATGATAAAGGGCAGGGTCTTTCAAAATCTATTTGAAAGACCCTGTATTGTCCAACAACATTGACCTGGCACTCTTGCATTTGACCCTGTAGTCGGTATATTCCGTAAACGTTACGATCTACTTGTAAATCGATATGAATGTAAATATCCAATTGTTAAAATGATGTAAATTAAAATTCCCTCTTAGCGCAGTTGTTAAAGAGTTTACACATGTAGAATGTAGACGTAGACTGGTAGGTTCGAATCCTATTTCAGCGATTATTTTTTTTTTTTTTTGAAATTGCCATTCTCTTTAATTTCTAATAATTGAAAACCTTATTGTGTGTACTATTTAAGTAGAATTTTTAATAACTGCTTTTGTAGCATGTATGTGCTAAAGCATATACGATTGTATAATGTCACAAAAAGAACCGTTGGAAGATACTGTAATGAAATAAGACACAATTGTGCATAAAAACACCACTTAAAAGGCATTATAAAACCAGGTGTAGTAAAACGATTTCAAATTAATTCTTGCAATTAAGTTTTAAAAAAATTATATCGTGGTGTTGGTTAGGTATCGAACCAGAGACCATCAGATCGGTAGTCCAACATGTATACCAATACACCACACCTCACTGACGAGTGAAGATAGCAAAAATATCGATATATTCCATAGGTAATAGTCAATGTTTATCCATATGACCTTTCCGAAAATTAATGAAGTGCCAGGTCAATATTGTCGGACAATAAAGGGTAATATTGTTGTAGAAGCTTTCCGATGTCATGTATTTTCCTAAAATTATATCCCGCTCGACCTTCGGTCCATTCCAACGCTGGCCGTAGCAAAAAACAAAGCCTCAGAAAGCAACTTCAACATTATGTTCCGTATTTATTTGCACACATGTTATTTTATTTGCTTTCATGTCTCTAATATTTAAACTTCATAATAAAAACGGTATTTGCGTTTTTGTTCATAATGAATGCACTCGCCAAACGGACGTGCAATTTTTCTCGCTATAGCTTTTGTTGGTCATTTAGAAGGTCGACTTTCCAGCTTTTCTGTGGGAAATACCACTGGTTCGTTTGCCATGAGTTGCTCCAAAGACAAACCACCGACATTCTGTACACATATACATACATGTATTCCGGCCTGTATTTACATCAAATATGTGTATTATAAAACAACGAGCCTGACCATAATATATTTTACCGTAGGTTATGAAAAATAATTAACGTATAAGACTCTAGTTGGTAACAATAAACTGTGACATTTAAACTAATTACATTGAAAAAGCTAGATATTCTCCATATGGACAAGAGAAACAGAATTCGTTTATAATGCAGTTAAAAATTTTTGCTTTCTTAGTTTAAAAACATTGACAATTAAATTTAAAAAACCATACAAAAAAACACCAAAAAAAAAATTTTGGAACCCCAAACAATTACAAAAAACTTTCCCATTTTTGTTCACCCAAAGGGCAAAAATGCCATCCCATACAACAAATTGCTTACAAATTTCAAGGAAATTTTTTAAATGAGGTAAACCTTTATCAAATTTTTAAAAAATTACTATGATTTTTTAAATTTCATTTAGGACCGTCGAAATTTTAAATTCAATGAAAAAAAGTTTAAACTGAGGAAATACATTAAATAGGGTGTAAGGCAAAATTAACAAGTTTATTTTTCTTAAAAGAAAGGCAAAAATTTGAAAACTGTGTTGATAAGACAACATTTTACTATTATTACATTAACATATCAAGTTTCTAATTAACACTTACCTCTTGAAAGATTCTAACTTTTAAAGTGGAACCAAAATATAATTATATACCAAAACGGTAACAATGTTACATAAAAATAAGTTTAATTAACAAATGACATATTGTTATATTGTATATATGGAATGCTTTGAGCACTATGGTGAAATATATTATCATAAATTTTATTTTAGCATGGGTTGGTAAACACCAAATGTTCAAAAATTTCCCAAAGATGCTTTACTATATGTTATACGAAACTTTAAAATGAAAAGCATTTTCCAATGCTAAAATTCAATTCTAAAAATAATCATTGTAAAAAAAAAATGTAAAAATCCCTTTTTTAATTGGGAACAAGTTTTTAATTTTATAAGTTTAAATGATTTAAATAACATGAATAAATGGGGAAAAACAGAAGGAATATTTCCAAAAATTTCCCTCTGACTAAAAATTTGAACCAAATTATTTTCAATAAATGAAAACACATAATTGTCTTTTTTTAAAAACTTTAAAGTTTAAAGTTTTGAATTGGGTAAATGTTTTTCTCCCCATTTGGGGTAAAAGGGTAATTTTATTTGTAAATAATTTTACCTTATCTAATTTTGGGTTAAAAACAACACTTATTGATCTATTTAAAATACAATCTGGGTTTTAATTATTAAAATGCTTTTTTATTAGTTTTATAAAACACTTTTGTATGTGAATTATTTTTTTTTGGGTATCTCTAAAAAGGTCATCTTCTATTAAAAGAGTCGTGAGCTTTGAACTGGAAACCTTCCATTATAATGAAACACCAGAAACAAAACTTAAGCACCAAGCATGTCTCTGTTCACAAGTTATATAAACTATTTGTCACAAGTTATATAGACCAATGTACACAAGTTATATAGACTGATGTACACAAGTTATATAGACCAATGTACACAAGTTATATAGACCAATGTACACGATTTAACCCACAATATTAATGCAAAATTAATAATTTACCAACGCACCTATAAAGATTTTTATCATAAATCCCTCAAATACTTTCATTACCTTCTAACTATGCCTTAAACACTTGAGCGATTATCAGTTTTATAGAGAGATACAAAAAACACTGTTAGTTTGTTTCTATTTTCACAGAATCACTTCTTCCTGGAATTTTTAAAAGTGAAGTCATATGTAAGTTATACAAGTCTGTATCTCATGTTGGCGTCTGGCGGCCGTTTCCATGTTTATACACCATGTCTTCACTCTACAACAATACAATCACCATCTTGTTTTCCTTCCTTTTTCTTTGTATGATCTGAAAGAACAACAACAACAACTGTTAAAATAAATGTTGGAATTGTAATCAAGCAGTATACTACAATATGTAGTGAAATTATCTATATTCCATTATACATGCTTAAAAAATTCAACAAGTGTTAATTTGAAATAACCAGAGAAGCGTATATTATATGACATAGAATAAATTCTATTTGTATATGATTATATATTATCAATTTTAAAAAAAAATTAACTTCAAGAATGAATATATAGCCTGTAAGATAAACAGAAATCCTTACTATATCATTATATGTTTTATATTGTATAATGTCTTTTTAATAATTAAGAATGGTTCAAAATTTATAAAGTTAAAATGAAGATAAAAAAAAAAACAATAAATTATCAATTCTAATCAGTTTTTTATAAATCATTTACACTAACATATCTTCAGGTTTAAGGTTGTATATAATGAAATCTAACTTCATTCCTACAAAAAAGATGTAATAATTCACACATAAAATCACTGAGAACTGTGCCACTGTGTTTTATATATCGGATAAACTATATCCATATGCTGAATGTATTTCTTTTTAGATATACTTTTAATCAAAATCACACATCTTTTCTACATGCTTTCATGCCAACCATGTACATTGCCAGTATAATCATGCTTTTCTTGGAATAGAAATATGCAGAAAAAATGTAACGTTTGTTAAGTTATATTACATTGTTCATTGAACTATCTATGGCTTTCAGCTTTAATACGTTTGTACAAGTCAATTAAGTGAATATTAATTCTACTAATTAATTAAATGATAATATATTTGTTCCAGTCAACTAATTGAGTGATATTTGTACATGTCAGTTACATTCAGTGACATTTGTTTCTGCAAATTTGGTGTACCAGTCAATAAAGGGAGTTATATTCAAATCAGTCAATTAAGTGAGTGATATTTGTACCAGTCAATTAAGTGAGTTTTATTTAAATCAGTCAATTAAGTGAGTGATATTTGTACCAGTCAATTAAGTGAGTTATATTCAAATCAGTCAATTAAGTGATTGATATTTGTACCAGTCAATTTAGTGAGTTTTATTTAAATCAGTCAATAAGTGAGTGATATTTGTACCAGTCAATTAAATCAGTCAATTAAGTGAGTTTTATTTAAATCAGTCAAATAATTGATTGATATTTGTACCAGTCAATTAAGTGAGTTTTTTTAAATCAGTCAAATAATTGATTGATATTTGTACCAGTCAATTAAGTGAGTTTTTTTAAATCAGTCAATTAATGAGTGATATTTGTACCAGTCAATTAGGTGAGTTATATTCAAATCAGTCAATTAAGTGATTGATATTTGTACCAGTCAATTTAGTGAGTTTATTTATACCAGACAATTAAGTGAGTATTATTTGTACCAGACAATTACTATAGTAAGTGACAGACATTTGTACCAGCCAATAAAGTGAGTGATATTTGTACCGGTCATATTAACTTTAATACAGGAATGTAAGCTTGAAAGAATTCAGTCAAAGACACACTATTGATCATAATTTTATAATTAGAGAATAAGACAGCAATATCACACATGTATATATAGCTACAAAGACAAGGTTAAAGGTTTACGATGGATTATAGAAGAAAATGATGATACTGTCAGGAAAGTGTTAATTTGGTATATATATGTAACTATGTACTTGAGTTAGAGTACAACATAAATACATTATAAAACACACATTATTTCCCAAATCTTTGAAGCAAATTTTGAAGGAAAAAAAAAGCATTAAATATAGCGAAAAGTCTTTGCAAATTTCAAATTTACTGTAGATTAAAAAAAACATATGTGGGAAATAAGACTGAGCCGCGCCATGACAAAACCAACATATTGTGTTTGCGACCAGCATGGATCCAGACCAGCATGCGCATCCGCACAGTCTGATCAGGATCTATGCTGTTCGCTTACAAACCCTATAATATGTAGAGAAACAGATAGCGAACAGCATGGATCATGATCAGACTGTGCGGATGTGCAGGCTGGTCTGAAACCATGCCGGTCGCAAACACATTACATTGGTTTTGTCATGGCGTGGATTGTATGTGGGAAATAAGTATGTTTTAAGATGTGTAATATAAATAAACTACTCTACAGTAGCGGCACACTAGCTGAACATATATGGTAAAATAGTGTACGTATAGGTCATACAGTCACCAAGCTTAGCATACATACCATATCCACAATTGTAAATTATTGACCATTTGCTACAAAACAACATGTTAACAGTTTGTTAATTTCCATCTCATGATCTCATCTAGAATGTTATTCAAGTTGGTATTTCTGATAAATTTTTGGAAAATGGCTATATATTAAAACTGTTTTAAGAGTATATACTTGAATGCAAATTAGCAAGGGAAATGATTCAATGATACATGTGAACCGCATCAAGTCAACACTTTCTCCAACCTTTTTTAGACCAAAATATCAGACAAATAAGGTACGCTTTAAGTATTACTATTACATACTATGTGACCCAGTTGGTCACATCAATGTTATCTATTGTAAAAGAGTGTATAACTAACACCAGGGCTTTGTTGCACACACTATGTGGCACCTTTTTGCCAGTTTTGTTGGTGGAGAAAGATTCAAAGTTTCTTAGTTTAAACTATTTCTGGTACAATGCAAGCAACCAAATATAAAATTTGTAAAATGACTTGGGCATCATTCTCACATAAAAGGTTTTAATGTGTCTGGACAAAAACCACATGTAAACCCTATAATATGCAAATGTGGGCACAAGTAAATGAAGTCAATTAGATCTGAAATCACATGTAATCACTTAAATTAACATATCTGCAGATGTTTACGTATTCAAAATAACACCATTTTGTGCTTAAATGTTGAACATTGTTTGAGCCAGTGCTACACAAGCTTAGATATTATCTTTAAACCCAGTCTGCAGCATTACTGGTCTTATGTAAGTGATTTAATTTTTTCATGATAATTTTACATCAGACAGATTATATAGATATATTCAAGGTCATGAACAGTTATCAATCAAACTTTATAGAAAAAGGTATAAACATTTTAAAAACTAAATACTTTTTTTTTACATTTCATCAAGGTTAAACATTTATACAAAAATTCAAAAGAAACTAGTAAAACTAATAAAATATTGGAATAAAGCAGATTGTGATGAAAACATAATTATACTTTCATTAAATTATAAATAAAGTTTTTTTCCCATTTCTGGCTCTTATTTTGTAAATATAATTCTAAAGCTATGGCCTTATTTCTAACAGTGACAGATCATAATGGAATGACGGATCTGAGCCAAGTCTCAGGTCTATCCAATGACAACAATAATGTCATTTATGTACCCAAAATAATAAAAGAAGTGAATTTACAGTGCAATTCTGGAAGATAGTAAATTGGCATGCTCCAAATTTAATCATAATAAAAAATATATCATCAATGACGTAAATTCTTCTAAGCACACACATTGTTCAGATTTATCAATGACAACAAATCTTCTTTTTTTCTCTTGACAAAAAAAAATCAAGCATCACATGAACAAATCTAACAGGCAAAAAAAAAGTTGCAGTTCAACAAGTTTTGTTCCTTTTAAGTTTATTTAAAGGCTAAAAAATGAGAAATAAGAAATAGATAGCTAGTTATCTGAATGTTGGAGGTATTTGCCATCACAGACCATGATTATATACACTTACAAATCTTCAAATACCTACACATTATTCTTCTTTAATAACATTAATTTAATATTCAACCTATCATCAAATAAAATCATATCTACTGTTCAAATTTCACTTGGCAAAAGGTTAAATAATTTGCCTTTAGGTAACATTACTGACATCTTATTAAAGCAGCTTACATCCAAGTTCATGCAAATTTTCATGTAAATTTTGAAAAAGTATTTAAAAGAAAAAATATTGTGTACAAAGAAAGTAATTAACACATTGCAAACGGCACAAAAAAAGTCCTAACTGTGTTAGTCACGCAGTAGAATTATGGTGATAAATACTGCAAAATCAGTAACCACACATAACTTGTAAAAAAAATACTTTAATCTTTATAATTTTCTTAAAATAATAGTACATTTTTCTCAACTTTGATTTTCATGAAATATTTTGGCTCATCTGGAGGCATGTAGCTTTAACTATAAAGGAATATTTCATATATGAATTAAGATGTTATTGAATTATACCAACCATTTAAATTCTATTACAGAGGAAAATTAAAACTTCTTGTGACATTTCTTAAGGGGTAAAAAAACACAACAAAAAATCTTCCAGATGAACTTGAATTTCAGAAAGCTCATACAAATAAAAGATAAACAACTGGAATCACACCTACAAAAATACAGCAGCAAAATAGCTCACAAAAAGCACCAAAAGCTAATTCTCTCATGCTTTCAAAGCATACAGATAATAATTTGTTCAATTATATACCACTATTGATGCGAGGATGCAGATGGCAAGCCAAATTTCTCAAGCCCGAGTGAACGAGCAACCTCTGGCGATGTCCAGTAGGCTGGCACCTCTCCGCCAGGGCCGGGGATCGGACCAAAGAATGTTGGGGGAGGAGGTAACACGCCTTGTTCAAATGTAACTGTTCACAGTGATAAAAAACATAGAGGTTACTGTTTTAGGATTAATAGTTATATCTGATGACTCTATGATGATAATAATGATGATTTAATCTGATGATAATGATTTAATAAAGATGATAATGATTTAATGATGGTGATGATGATTTAATGATGATTTTATGATGGTCATGTTAATTAAATGATGATGATGATAATAATTGAATGGCGATTTAATGATGGTGATGATGATTAAATGGTGATGATGATGATTTTATGATTAATTGATGATGATGATAATGATTGAATTATGATGATGATGATGATTTATGATGGTGAAATGATGATAATGTTTGTTTGTTTCATTTTACGCCTTTTCCCTACAGTATTTCAGTCATATAGGCGGGTAGTTTCCTAACCATCGTTCCTGGAGAGTTACACCAGTACTAAACTACCTTCCTCCGCGCTAAACTACCAAAGCGCTAAACTACCAAAGCGCTAAACTACCAAAGCATCTCCCACGCCAGAGGTAACTAGATAAGAAGTCATCGACTCTAACCCCTCGACCACGGAGGCGGTTGAAATGATGATAATGATTTAATGATGATGATAATAATGAATTGTTGATATTGATAAAGATTTTATGATGGTGATGATTTAATAATGGTGATGATAATGATTTTTTGATGATAATAATGATCTTATGATGATAATAATGACTAAATGATGGTAATAATAATGATGATGATAATTTTAATTTAATGATGATCAGAATGATAATGATAATTATTTTATGATGATGTAGTGATTCTAATGAACAAGTGTTAAGGGTCAGTGTGTAAAAATAAGATAAAGCAATATACTGGAAAAATTATCATAGCAAATCTTTTCATTCTCAGCACCCAAAAATTAAAAGATGGGTATTTTTTTTTTTACTTATACCATGTATAAATATATATTCTTTAAAATAAAAATTCCAGACAAACAAAATGGCAAAAGGTCTGTGGATGGCAGTCTTAAAATGAGAGAGTATGTATTGACTTGAAACTTAACTTTTTTTGGCTTCTTTACTACAGAAAACTACAGATAAGCAACAGTATTCAACTTAGTGTCTTTAAGAAATTTGTAAAATTGAACGAGAGCCAAACAAAGTATATTCAACTACACTCTGCATATACCTATTTATACAAAATGTAAAATATGGAAAATAAATCAATAATATTTAAACAGGAGTAAAAATAGTGGACTTATGTGTATGTATAGCAATAACAATGATATTGGATTAATGAAAACAATACATATACCAAATAGACCAGATGAGTATAAGAGACACTTATATGAGTAAAGGAGAAAATATGAGCCGCACCATGCCAAAACAACATAAAGGGTTTGCGACCAGCATGGATCCAGACCAGCCTGCTCATCCGCACAGTCTGATCAGGATCCATGCTGTTTGTTTACAAACTCTATAACTAGTAGAGAAACCGATAGCGAACAGAATGGATCCTGATCAGACTGCACGGATGTGCAGGCTGGTCTGGATTCATGCTGGTCACAAACCCATTATGTTGGTTTTGTCATGGCACGGCTCAATTATTAATTAAGAACACCGGTACCACTGATGTTTCCCTGATGCTGCTAAAATACAGCTTAAAGATATTACTAAACTATGACAGAAATAAAGGATATGTAGTTTCAAAACAGAATATTGTTTTATTCAATGAGTTAAATAAATTTAGTAGTGAGCCTACACAAGAATAATATTTTAATCATCACATAACCAAACTAACAACTGTTTACAGTAAAAAAGAATCAGTTTTCTATTGATGCGCATATTGTGTAACATTATCATTTATCACATCTTTTCACTATATTTGTATAAGACAAAAGGCGCCACATTAAAAAAACTCAGAAAAATGAAAGTTTGTTATATAAACCAATTATCTCAAGACACTGGATTATAAATAAAAACCTTATACTGTGAAACTGTAAAGAATGAGTGATGAGAGTAAGGAAGGACAAACTATTCACTGTATACTCCCTGAAAAATATCAGGGAGGGTTAAAAAAAGTACACTTTAACTTTCAATTTACACATAGAATATACAAAATTCTTTAATTAAGAGAGATTATTTAGTAGTACCTGGTGTGGGGGGCTGTGATCTATGAGCAGCTGGACTTGGTGATGCCTGTACTGGTGGTTTCTGACCTGTATCAACAGAATTTATGCAATTAGTATTGAAATATATCCTTTAAAATGCACAAATATGTTATTAGTAACATGTCAATTGCTAGACTGAAGATCCGTTGATAAGGGGTGAAACAATCAGACCCTCACCGCAAATAAGCGCTTAAATATTCAGACATTGATTCAGAAATCATTCAATTCATGGCTATATACAAGTACTTGGATAACATAAATCATTTTCTTGTTGCCGCATTGTTTTAACTGTATGTTACTTCCATTTTACTAGTTATTTTTTTAATCCTAATCCTTAAATACAGTCTTCACAGTAAAGAAAATAATATGAATAGAATGTGCAAGAGATTTATTACCTGATGTTGAAGGAACAATGCTAGTTTGACCAGTGGAGGTACTCTGTGTTGGGGTAGCCGCTGCTGCTGCTGCCTGCTGCGCTGGGTTAACAAGTCGACCGAGGATACTGCGCTCTGACATCTGCAGTCTTTGACTTACTGGCGGTACTCGAGCCAGAGTAGCTGGTAACCGACTTACATCTTGTTTCATGTCACTGAGTAATTCTTCTAACTGATTTAATACTGTTAGAAAACCAATGAGATTAAAATTAGTGCAATTTATTACAAAGAAGCTAAGTTTACTGGCAAACAAAGATGATAAATCTCCTTTAAATTTACCTCAGGTAAAAATGTATCGAGATTAAAACAAACTGGACTGACTTTTACCACAGGTGCTAGTTGCATTGATTTGACCTAAAATGTGTTTGACCTTGTTATTTATACAATAAAATATTAATATATTAAAAAAAAAAAAAAAAAAAAAAAAAAAAATTTCACTGTTATATTATTATAGACAAGGTATGCAACATTCAGGTACGAAAATTATGGGTACGCCGGTTATCTGTGTTAAAATTTTTCACCGGGCAGTAATATCGTCGGATTTTTGCATGGAATCAATGCACAATATATTTTTCTATTACAATTCACTATTTACAGATCCCCAATTAACCGCTAGTTAATGTTGTAAAGCCCGAAAGTAAGAAATCACCCAGGTCCGAAAGATGAGACCGTCATGACATGTACATTGTAAGCTGGTATTTACGCTTGAAATACATCAACAAAGAGATCAAACGGGTCGAACTCACATGCAAACAACTGGATTTTACATACTTTTAAATGGTTTTATCCTCCACGAGTCAAACTTAGTCCTATGAGCCTGTATTTAAAGAAATATCCTACATGTAGACGATATTTTTAGAAGGTAATTCCCACCGGAAGTATTCTCCGGCTTCCGTTTCACATACATTGACAAAGAGCGAAACAGGGAACCAAGCACGTGTTGCGGGAGAACACTTCCGATTTAGGAATTACCTTATAAATGTAGAATTTTTCTTAAAATACGGGCACATAGGACTTAGTGCCACTCGTGGAGGATAAAACCATTTAAAAGTATGTAAAATCCAGTTGTTTGCATGTGAGTTCGACCCGTTTGATCTCTTTGTTGATGTATTTCAAGCGTAAATACCAGGTTACAATGTACATGTCATGACGGTCTCATCTTTCGGACCTGGGTGATTTCTTACTTTCAGGCTTTAAAACATTAACTAGTGGTTAATTGGGGATCTGTAAATAGTAAATTGTAATAGAAAAATATATTGTACATTGATTCCATGCAAAAATCCGACGATATTACCGCCCGGTGCAAAATTTTAACACAGATAACCGGCGTACCCATAATTTTCGTACCTGAATGTTGCATACCTTGTCTATAATAATATAACAGTGAAAAAAAAATTTTTTTTTTTTTTTTTTTTTAATATATTGATATTTTATTGTATAAATAACAAGGTCAAACACATTTTAGGTCAAATCAATGCAACTAGCACCTGTGACTTTTACTGCCAAAAAGCAACAGAAGCAAAAAATAATGCAGGAAACTGGCCAGTGAGCAACTTTTTGGAAATTATAATTGGGACGCAAGAAATAAAAAGCTTTTGAGAAATAAACATAAAAGTTTAAGGCAAAGTTGGTCTTTAAAAAAAATTTGTTTTCTTATTATTTTTATCATAATAGTTGTATTACTAGTTTTACCTTTATGTAAGACTGCATTAGCTGGTTTATTGCCTGCTAAAGATTCCTTAGATAAATGTTGGTGACTCTCTGCCAGACATTCTAGCTCAGCAAAGCGAGTGTTCAGCGCCATGGCTGGGTGAGCAGGATCCTGCGTGAGATTCAAATATGCTGCTCTTCTAAGCTGTTCCTCAATGACTAGAGCTTGTTCCAGTAACTTAAAATAGAAGTTATAATAACTGAAGGTAGTACATCAATAAAGGGTTGACTCTTCAAGTGTCAATAATACATGTCAAAATTACACCAATTAGTTTATACAAGAGAGTCCCAGACAAACTTACTAATGTACCTTCACAAACTCCTTCAAACCAAGTGCAATTTTCATGTTATTTTGTTTGTGTGTGTTCTAAGTTAAATAGGGGTCCATCTGCCCATTCAGACACTGAGAGTATGGACCCCTGTTTTCATTTCCACTGAGGGTTAAACCCGTTTTCTTTTTTTTCGCACACTTGACATCTGTATCAAATAAAACCTCAAATATACCAAGTTACAAGATCACTGTATAATTTACCCTGTATCTCTTTCCTGGTAACATGTAGCTTACAAATTACATTACAATTTGTACTTGTGTTATATTTTCTGCAGTAATTTTTAACTACAACAATTATTCAAAATCTCAGTGTGTTTGAATTTGCAATTTGAAAAATTATAGCATTACAATTGCTTTGGTTAGGTTGAAATCTTTAGTGCATTTTAAACATTTACTTCACTGAACACTGAAGTAATTGTCATGTCATTATTTGGTTGTTACTTCATTATGTGCCTGTTAACATTCCTCTTCATATAGTGAGCTTAGTCTGTTTTCCAAACAACGTGAAGCATGTTAGAATAAACATATCTTATTTACAAGCCCTTCACCCAAGGAACAATTATGGCAAGTTTGGTTGAATTTTTGCGGTTTTTAAGGAGATTAAGTTAACTATGTAAGAGACAAACACACATGCACACAGGTGAATCACTATATGCATAAATATCTGATTCATGGTCAGAATCTACTAACCTTAAACCGTCTAGCTAGGAATTTATTCTTGATCTCAAGGAAATTTCCTTTGCCTTGTTCTGATAGGAAGGGTTCATTGATGATCTGGAAACGTGCATCATTCTGTATATCCTGCCATCTACCGTAACCATGACTACATGACAGTTAAAGACTATAACCAAAATACTCCTCAAGAATTTAATAAATGACAAAATCAAGATAGTACGTTTGTGACTTCTTCGTTTGCAATCTGATCAGGATCCATGCTGTTCACCAACCCTATTACAAGTAGAGAAACTGATAGCGAACTAGTGGATCCTGATCAGACTGCGCTGATGCGCAGGCTGGTCTGGATCCATGCTGGTCGCAAACTCACTATGTTGGTTTTGTCGTGACGCGGCCCATTAATATAAACAGCCTTTTTTTTTCTTTTAAAGATTTTGTACCACAGAAAGAATTACATTTAAAAAATTATTATGATATCAAAGTTAATCATGTTGCCTATTACAACTGTAAAAAAATAAATATATTTCATAATAAACAAAAGAAATAAATAAAGACAGGTAATTAATTTTATAGAAAAGGATACGTGACTAGACCAGCTAATAACCAGTAGTCATGACGACGATGCCAAACTTCTTGTTCACGACCCTGTAACAAACAATAACTCAAATAAAGACTGTAGTATATACGATAACACAAATAATGACATGCACGACCCTGTAATATATATGATTGCACAAATAATGACACAAACGACTCTGTAATATACAGTAAGACAACTATAACACTTGCAACCCTATTATATAATCATTGTCACACAAATAATGACATTAATGTTGAGTGAATAAATCAAGCTCTTTGCTCAGGACCCTGCGATATACGATCACTAATGTTATATAGGAATGAATCAACACAACGTCTCCTCACTGAGTAAGATCAATTGAATTATTTTGAAATAACTCCAATCTTCCATCTATGCTAGCTATTGACAAATAACTAAGTGCACAATTTCAGATCATCCCCTCACTTTTTCCAGAATTATTAACTTTGTTGTACAAAATAACCTCATATCAGGCCAAGAATTACACTATATATTGATTTCAGTTCAATTTTTTGTGTAATTCACTTTAAACTTTTTCTAATAAATTGTTTCAGGTGCCCCAGTAGATGTATGTCAAATTTTAAAGATTATGATTTTATATCTCATTAGGGCTCCTTTAAAAGCACATGAAAAAGACAGTAAGTTATACTAATTACAGTGACAGGTAATAAAACACTATAATTTATACTTGGACAGTGTTATATCAAGACAATTGCATGTGTGTCAATGTTATCTACTGTATTTAATGCAATAATAACAATGTTGGACTCATAAGGGAACCGTGTTGCTTCACTAATGGTACCAGATTTATTGAAAAACAATTCTATACTAGGATGTCATGTTAATATATCAAACCTAAAAGTAAATTGCAAACTAGGTGAAAGAGAAAAACAAACTAATGCCACACAAAATCATATTGACTTCTTTCTCAATTAGAATAATCTTATCTCTTTACACACTTTCCACTGACATTAGTATTTACTGTGAATTTACTTAAATGAGTACAATATTTTGTGGTTTGTCACAAAGGACATTTTTGAGAGTTGATTGTCTATTCTTTCAAAAAAAAAGAGTAAAACATACCTTAACTAACGCCCTCTGTTCATTCTGCCAGAGAGTATGGAGCTCTGTAAAACCACCATCAGCTATATTAAACATAAACTTCTGATTGGTTTCTTCCTTCTTCTTCACTTCCTCTACTTCTCCTTTTTCTTCTTTCTTCTCTTCATCTTTACTCTTTTCTTCCTTCACTTCTTTCACTTCACCTTCTTCTTCTTTCTTTTCATCATCTTTAGTCTCCTCTGAAATCATAAAAAGGTGATGAACTGTTAAACATATATATATATGTACAATGACCTTCATTCATCATGAAAAAAAAAATTCATAAAGCATTTGTGATGAGATTGTGCATCATTTTTTTTTAACATGTATTTCTGGTAAACTGTGTTCCTCACTCATTGTTAAAAAGTAGAATAATTTATTCAATTTCAAAAATTTGTGAACAAATTTTTGTGAATTTATTTTTAAAAAATTTACATGAAGCATTTGATAAGAGAGTGTGGGTTATTTTTCTACACCTTAATACTCAACATGTATTTCTGGTAAACTGTGTTCTTCGTTCATTGTTGAAAAGTAGAATAATTTATTTAATTTCAAAAAATTTGTTAACAATTTGTGTATCATTAATTTTTTTTTCAGCTTCTGCACTTATTTTAGGTATTCATTAAATAACATTTTGTTTATTGTAAAGAAGCCCTTTCCTGTTATCTTTCATCCAGGGGTACAATTTCTTTAAAGGAGCAAAACTGTAGATCAGTGCCTTTTAGATTCAAACAAAATCTCCTGTTTGAATCCCTAAATTCTGATCAGTTACTTTAACCACATTTTGGGGTCCTTACATTATATGATGTAGGCATCTATGTAAATGTGGTAGCATTACTTCTAGTGTGAATTACATTACATAAATATTTTCTGGGGTTTTATATTGTGACAACAGGGAACATAATTATTTTTATTTTTGCCTACGATACAAAAGAGAAAGAACATCAAAACACTTGGCACTTTGATTTATACTCAGGGGGTACGCCTTCTTGTTGAAATCAGATAGCCTTGTCCTCATGTTTCGATGCTCTTTCTATTTATTAATCACATAGATTGGAAACAAAATTTCAAAATTTGACTACCTTTCTGCTCCTCTGCTTTCTCCTTCTTTGCTTCATCCTCACTGCCTTTTTCTCCTTGTTCTTCCTTTTTCTCTTCTGTCACTTCCTCTTTAACTTCTTCCTTCACCTCTGTCTGCTCTTCTAAAAAAACAACAACGAAAAACACAAAAATATGGATGTCTGCAGGCTTTTGTTTGTTTGTTTGTTTCATTTTTACGCCTTTTTCAACAGTATTTCAGTCATACAGGCGGGTAGTTTCCTAACCATCGTTCCTGGAGAGTTACACCAGTACTAGACAACCTTCCTCCGTCTGCAGGCTTTAAGTTTACACACTGATTTAAGTTCACCAAGGACACTTTGTTTCTTTGTGAGATGTACAAAGAAACAAGATGTATAATTTTGACTTTCACACTCAAATAAAAACCAAAGATTGAAATAATCATTGTTTTTAAATGCTTCACCCATAGATATGTTGATGACGTAAAAATTGTTATATATAATGAATGTGTCTAGGAACAAAAAGTATATAAATCTATAATATAAAAGAGAAAAAAAATAATCTTGTAATGCTAACATAATATATATATTCTGTTTTACTGACCTTTTTGATCTTCATCTTTTTTCTCCTCAGTATCGACTACCATAGCTTTATCTTCACTTTCCTCATCTTTTTTTTCCTCAGTAGTTTCAGTTTCCATGACTTCAGTCTTCTCTTCCTTATTTTCTTCTTTTTTCTCTTCATCTTCCTTTTTATCTTCTTTACTTTCCTCTTTAACTTCCTCATTTTCCTGAGAAATAAAAAATGCAATTAAAGTAACATGATGATATTTTTCATACGCTCCAATCTTCATAAGAAGTCAATTTGAATTTTAAGTACATTAAGTTTTATTGAGATGACTTTAAAACAATTTCGCTCACTTTGCTCCATTGGTTGAGCATTGGTTTTGTAATACAAGGGTTGATGGTCCAATCCTCAGGTGAAGGGAAATTTCTCTGGGGCAAATGATCTTGCACATTATGTCTATAATGGTAAATTGTCTCTTGCAGCTGATTCAGAAATCATGTGGGATAAGTAGTCGGTCATTTGCGAGGAAATTGGTAATCACTTGTTAGTTATCCAGATTTATAAGAATATCAAAATGATACATTTCTATTGAATTAATCAATGTTTGAATATATCTATGGAATTTTTACCCATTGTAGACCCATCTGCTTTTTAAAATATCAGTATCAGTGTATTACCTTTTCTGTAGATTCTGTTTCCATCTTTTCTGGTTCTTCTTTCTTTTCCTCAACTTTTTCTTCTGCTTTTTCATCCTTATCGCCATCACCTTTATCTTCTTCTTTTGGCTCCTCCTCTACTTTTTTATCTCCCTCCTCCTCTTTTGACTCCGCCTCTTTCTCTGTCTTTGGTTCTACTTTGTCACCTGCCCCTTTCTCAACAGCAGGTGAAGCAGCAGAATCCTTTTCTTTCTTCAGTTTATCAACAGCTTCTGTTGCCTTTGTATAGGGCATGCTGTTTTCACCATTGATGGCTTCAAATTCTTGAACCTAAACATACCATAATATAAATGTAATATCTAAAACTTTATGTAGTGTCTCCATTTTTACCTGAGGCAACAGATGTGCCAATATGCAGAAAATACAACCAATTTTAACAGCATTTGAACACCAATTTGCTAAATCAAATAATAAAATTCCTGTTTATTTCTATTGATAATTTTAAAGAACAATGGATTAGAAAAAAAAATCATTTTGTCAAATATATAAAACTACAAATGCATGCCTTATCCATGTACAAAATTGCTTATTAATATCAATTTGAAGAAGCACTGGCAACTGATAAAATTTATAAACATCATTATTCTCTATTTCTAAATTTCATCAGGAGGTGTGAAATTATCACATTTGTTTGCAACTTGACTTTTAATTCATTCAACATCTTAATATCATTACTAGATACAGTAAGAACAGAAATCCACCAAAATAAAATAATCATGATTCACAATATACATAAATAATCTATACCTTTTTCCTGACTAGAGACATTATGCCGATTCTTGTTAACACATGCTGTCTTGAAAGCCCTTCCCTCGGAACTCCGTCGGCAAATGTTTCAGCATTATCTGCCCCTGGTTCACACAGATGGCGCATAAATAGAGACACATAGGCACGGAAAACTTTCTCCGTTTTTCCTCTTAAATCTCTTACTAGCCTACAAAGACAATAATATACATTGACTATTGAATATAAACTATATAACTTAAGTTATTCTATTTATAATTAATTCAGAAATGTGCATTCATTTAATTAAATACACAAAACATTTTGTGAAAAGTTGACACTATCGTTATTACACATGTGATTAAGACTTACCACTGTGAGTTGAAAGCATCTTGAGGTGGCATTCCATATCTCATAACAGCATTAAGAAATGCCTTCCTCTGTCTAGCATTAAAACCGAGCACCTCTATCTGCCCGTTAACCCTCGCCAGTAATGGAGGTAATGGACGATCTCTCTCTCGTCTCTCATTTCTCTTGTTACGTGCTGTGAACCAAATAAATTATGTTTATAATTACAGTATTAGTTCATAAATATTGTCAAATATTCAACCTATAATATGTACTAACACAGTAAATTTTGTCATATAAAAATGATGACTAAATACAGCTGTATAAGGGTATTAATGACATATTTTATTAAGGTTATTAGGTTATATTGATTTAACAACTTAATTAATTGTACATACATGACATTCCTTCTTTCTGTTCATTGAAGTCGTCATCATCATCATCTTCATTCTCACCTAAAATATAGAAATATATGTAAACATATATATTAAAGGCATTTATACTTTAATGCACACTGAAAATCAACATTAGCTGCCAGGTGAACCAATAAATTTAACATAAACTGCTTAATGAACCAGTAAATTCAACATAAACTGCTTAATGAACCAGTAAATTCAATATAAACTGTTGAATGAACCAGTAAATTCAATATAAACTGCTTAATGAACCAGTAAATTCAACAAGAGCTGTCGGTAGGACAGCATGCTCGACTATTCTTAGTGCTTGATAGTAAAAAAAATGCCTGATGCAGTTACCTCCTCCTGTTTACAGGTTGGGGTCATGATGGTGAACAAGTGTGCAAAGTTTCAAAGCCATATGTCAATGGACTTTGAAAATATTTGAACTATTACAAAAACTTTAACGTAAATTCTAAGTCGAAAAAGGGGCATAATTCTGTCAAAATGCTTGATAGAGTTACCTCCTCCTGTCTACAGGTTGGGGTCATGATGTTGAACAAGTGTGCAAAGTTTCAAAGCCATATGTCTATGGACTTTGAAAATCATATTGAACTATTACAAAAACTTTAACGTAAATCTAAGTCGAAAAAAGGGGCATAAATTCTGTAAAAAAATGCTTGATAGAGTTACCTCCTCCTGTCTACAGGTTGGAGTCATGATGGTGAACAAGTGGTGGCAAAGTTTTCAAAGCCAATATGTCAATGGACTTTTGAAAATATTTGAACTATTACAAAAAACTTTAAACGTAAATTCTAAGTCGAAAAAGGGGCATAAATTCTGTCAAAATACTTTGATAGAGTTACCTCCTCCTGTCTACAGGTTGGGGTCATGATGGTGAACAAGTGTGCAAAGTTTCAAAAGCCATATGTCAATGGACTTTGAAAATATTTGAACTATTACAAAACTTTAACGTAAATTCTGGACTTTGAAAATATTTGAACTATTACAAAAAACTTTAAACGTAAATTCTAAGTCGAAAAAGGGGCATAATTCTGTCAAAATGCTTGATAGAGTTACTCCTCCCTGTCTACGGGTTTGGGGGTCATGTTTGGTGAACAAGGGGCAAAGTTTAAAAAGCCATATGTCAGGGACTTTAAAATTTTTAAACTATTAAAAAAAATTTTAACATAAGGGGTTACCCGACGCCAACGTTTTCGGGGACTGCTAGTTTATTTTTTATAAATTGGGCGACTAAAAAAAACTCAAAAACCAATTTTAAAAAAAGGGCAAAAACCAAAAATTAACCCTAAACTGTTTTATAAACCAAAATTCAAAAAAAACTGTTTAAAAACCGTTTCAAAAAAAGTTTAATAACCAAAATTCAAAAAAAACGTTTAATAACCAAAAATTCAAAAAATGGTTAATAACCAGAATTAAAAAAGGTTAAAACCCGAAATTAATTTTGTTAAACCAGAAATTTTTAAAAATTTTTATTTTAAACAAAAAATTTTAAAAAATTTTAATTTTTCCAATTTCCCCAGTAAAAAAAAGGGGTTTTTAAATTTTTTCTTAATTAGAAAAAGGAAAACAAATGTAATAATTCCATAAAAAATATTCAAACCACGAAGTTTCTAACATTAAAACAAAAATTTTCATTATATACCAATAATGCTTTAAAAGTTTAAAAAAAAACAAAATAAAATTTAAAGTTTTGACAAAAAAATTTTTTTTTGGGGCTTAATTGTCTTTAAAAAACACAAGACAAATTCTCCAAAAAAATTTAAAATAATTTTAAACGGAACTACAAAAATTCCTTCCCCCACACACTTACACCCTGCACATCAATAGTTAAACCTTTTCCAACTGTTTACCCTTCCCAATTTTTAGCTAAACTTCCTTTTTTGCTTATAATGATGTTTAATAATTTTCCCCCGTAGGCGGGGGGATGTCCCTCCTGTTTTTAAAACTTCTGTCTCTGGGGTCCTCCCCCGTAATAGGGCACATTAAAAAAATAAAAATAACACCCGACTCGCATGGCCAGCCCGTATAGCTCGCTATATACTAAAATTACTAACTGGTCTTTCGGATGAGACTTTAAATCGAGGTCCCGTGCATTAGTGTTTAAACACTTGGCACGTTAAAGAACCACGAGGAGCTTCAGGAATTGGGGCATCTTTCTGTATTTGTATCTTGCTATATTCTCCAAAATATAAAATGACTAATACTCTTCTGGAAGACTTGCCGATATGGGCAACCGGTGGCAAGTATAAATAAACTCAAACACACACAGTATTTCAGTATAAATATAGACCTTTAATGCTCAATGCCAACTGTGATGACGAACAGGCCTGTGATACCTGTCTATATTTTTAATTTGTTGACTTTTAATTTGTTTATCATAACTTGAAATATTAATAATCGTGCAAGAGTTAAGATTTAAATAAGGAAGAATACAATATGCAAAATCAGTGGTGAAGACTGTGGACAAAAATTGAATTTTTTGTTTTTAATTTTTTTTGTTTTGTTTAAACTTACATCAGACTCCCCTTCTTTGACAGCGTAGCTGGCCACCTTAAATGAACTAAAGTAATCGTTCATAGCTACTTCTTTCTCCTCTTGTGCCTCTTTAGATCTATCAAGGAGTTGGGCAATGGCTTCATCATCGTACACAATCCTCTTCTCCTCACCCTCAGCTTCCCCTTCACCTAGTTATCATAGTGAGTATTCTATATCAGTTTCTATAGCAACCTCAACCATTATACTGGTTTCATTTATATACAGGATCTTAAGATCTTACAATACAAGAGTTCTAAATGATCTAAATTATAACGTCTGGAGAATTTTGTTTTAAATGAACCTATGTGAATGATATAATTGCAAGTATTTATAAATGACAATGAATGTGAGACTCGTATAAAATAATGATATCATAAAGTGGAAACAAACATTCAAGAAAATGTATTTGAAATACTATGAACTTTTTTTTAACTTTTCATTTTAGCACTATTTTTAAGTAGCAGAACATTCTTAATAACATATGAACAAACTTACAGTTTACTGAAAATAGAAAACTTTCACAGAAATATATCAGTATTTCTTTTTTTGAAATTTAAAAAAATCTAACATACTATTTAACGATAATGATTACAAATAATATTTTGATATAAATAATTTATCAATTAATAAATACCTTCCACTTCCTTGAATAATTCCTCCGTTCCAAACTTGAGGATATCATCGAGTTCTTGTTTTGACATAGAGGTAGTTTTATTACCGACACCAGGACGTACAACTAGATGCTGTAACATCATCTTCTTCTTCGCTACTTGTGTTATACGTTCCTCCACGGAATTTCTCGTCACAAAACGATATATTAACACCCGATTTGCCTGACCTATTCTGTGAGCTCTGCTAAATGCCTGTAAATATAGATACCGTCTTATATATTGTGTATATTGGTATATATTGTGTAAATATGAAATTTACGAAGTGGTATACATTGTATGAATATGAAATGTAAAAAATGGTATATAATGTGTAGGTATAAAATAAAAGGCATTTAACATTCAAACACGTGCTTATCAACTATATCATAAGACAGCTCCCATTTTCACATTTATATAGTTATACATGTTTATGTAAGCTATTACATTGGCTTATCCTTGAACAATTTACAGACTAGTAAAAATAAAGCTCAAATTTGTATTAAACTGTATCTAAAGGTCAGAGGTGATACTGGAACAAAGAATACCTGTATATCGTTGTGGGGATTCCAGTCTGAATCGTAGATAATCACAGTATCTGCTGTAGCAAGATTTATACCCAGGCCTCCTGATCTTGTCGACAGTAGGAAACAAAACTGCTCCGCTCCTGGTGCTGTTATAGATATATAAAACAGAGGATATTGAATATGTGTAGATTTAATACTAAACTTATTAAACAAGTTGAATAAAATCATAATATGCAATCCTATGGTGACATTCTAATTATTACATATTGGAAACAAGATTTGTATACGGTCAAAAAGAGTAATTTATCAATGATGCCCCAATAGTATAATGCTGATATTAGTGCCATTTTACACTTTATATACAACAAATATATATATCGCTAATGACGTCACATCAAAGTAATATTACACAAGTGTAATATTGTTTTTATCAAATGGCTTTATTACACTCCTTCAGTTTATGTGATAAATATTATATACATTTATATTCTGTAACTTTGATATATATATCCTGCCATTACTTAATTTTCAACAATAAATGAATAATTGACTCTTAATTGCTGCCAAATTCAAATTTATCATGTATTTCATTTTAAATTTCAATATTTCAAAAGAATGTTTGATTTCTGAAGATTTGTTTAAATGACCCATCTATATGCATTATACAATAAATAACTCTAGCTTTCTTTGACCAGAAAAGAACTTGTGTATATACACCTTTGTCCATTATTTCAGAATGAAGCTAAATCAAGAGTTGAACAACCAACCTGACATAAGGTAGCTTCCATGCATTAAAGATCAAAATTTCTATAATGTAAAGAAAAACAAACCGTTGAATCTATCAATAGCGTCCTGTCTCATTGAGCCTGTGATAGCACCATCTATACGTTCATATTTGTATGATTCATGCTCCAGAAAGTCTTCTAGTATATCCAACATCTTTGTCATCTGTCAATAGTAGAAACAATTCATACAGAACTTTATTTTTGACCAATGATTTGAGCCCCACCATACAAAAACAAACATAGTGTGTTTGGGACCAGCATGGATCCAAACCAGCATGTGCAGTCTAATAAGGATCCATACTATTCACTATCAGTTTCTCTACTTGTACATGTTGTAATCAAGTTTGTAAGCTATCAGTTTCTCTACTTGTAATAGGGTTGGTAAGCGAACAGCATGGATCCTGATCAGACTGCGTGGATGCGCAGACTGGTCTGGATCCATGCTGGTCGCAAACGCACTATGTTGGTTCTGTCATGGCATGGCTCATTTGTTATTTCAAGTTAAAAAAGATTTTTAACAAGTAATAGCACCTAGTAAAGATTTCTCTTTTTTGTTGGGTTTTAAGTCACATCAACTAAGTAAAGGTCATATGGTGACTTTTGGGCTTTATTGCTAAAGGAATACCTCAGAAGCTCCTTCGTGCATTAATTCAGGCACAGGCAGGCATCCAAGTAGAGCCATCAAAATTCTATAAGCTAGCTCAATATCTTCCTCACACAACAGAATCAAAAGTCCCCGACAGGACTCAAACCTACAGCAGTGAGAGGCAAGTGGTTTGAAGTCCAAGATCTCAACCACTCTCTACCATGTACACCCTGTACAGAAGATTGTAAGCCTATAAAATGTAAGCCACAAGGCAAGGTTTATATTGTAAACAACCAAATGATGAAAGTGTTACCTGTGAGAAGATAAGTACTCTGTGCCCATCCTCCTTCAGTTTACGTAACATTTTACATAACAACATCAATTTACCAGATGACTTTGTCAACGCTGTGCCCTCATAGGCATTGTTAGGTAATCTAGGAGCTTCCTGTAAACACAAAATTAATGTAATTATACAACTTGTAACAAATACAAAATATCAGCTTCTTCAAGTATATAAATTATTCATTTCTTTCAGCTCTTAGCTAACAGATTTTTCTTGGGTTAGGGGAGGGGGGGGGGGGGGTTGTATAGGTATAGTCATAAACAGAAAGTAGTTTTTTGTTTTTTTTATATTTTGTTTTTTTTTGTTTTTTTTACAAACTAGACAAGTTGAAGAAAATTAGGTAAACCAACTGCTTCATCTGGTAAGCATACAATAAATTACTCTGCATTGTCTGTCAAACATACTTCTACCTGTGTTAATTTTTCCTTATTTTTTTTTTCTTGGACGGGTTGCCAGTGTAGCAGGGAGGTTAGGCTGGCATGAAGACAAGTACACTTACCTGTTGAGCTGTTGGGAAGAGGTAAGGATGATTACAGCATTTCTTCAGATCCATCATTATGTTGAGAAGTGACACTTGATTACCTCCCCTTGTGTTTAAAGCACTAAAGTTCCTCGTTAAAATGTACTTGTAATATTTCCTGAAATGTACAAAAGTTGTATATGTTTTTTTTCTTACTTCTTATTTCAACTCAGTTAAAAGTAAAACAGCTACTATTTTATATCTGTATGACAGGTTTTTTTCTTTCTTTGTCATTCAATTCTGTTATGATTTTTTTAAATTCCAGGATAAATTGAGAGCAAAAGAATTATTCTAGTTTGCTGCTGATGTTCTCTTTGCAAATGACGACTGCTTTAAAAGATGAAGTAATCATAAATATTCACTCTTGCATTGTCTGTCAAACAAACTTGTTCCTGTGTTGGTTTTTTTTTCATATTGATTTTATTTGGACGGGGATGCAGGTGTGTGTGCGGGGCAGGGGAGAGGTTAGACTAGCTGGAAATCTTAACTCGCATGATGACAGAATCTATAGTTTTCTGTCAGCAACCATATTTTACCAGCATTACACTCTCCCCAGCTACATAATATTCTATTTTGAACATAACAACACTGTTACATTTAACAATGGACAATGCCTCCTACAAAACTGGTCCAGTCCATTTCACAAAATTTTAAGAAAAAAAAATAAAGACAAAAAAACAACAACTCACTTTTGCATTGGACTGAGTTCAACGCGAACTATGAACTCACTTTTACTAGGCATATTCTTCAACACGTCGGCTTTAAGTCGACGTAGAAGATGTGGACCTAACATATCATGTAACTTTCTAACTTGATCGTCCTTGGCAATATCTGCAAATTCATTCTGGAACGTTTGTAGATCACTGCAAAAATCAAAATATTACATTTAATAAACATAAAAAGATATAATAACTCCGTAATTTTTTTTTATACGACGTTCAGTAAGTAATTAAAACAACTTGCACACAATACAAATGTGGCTTTATTGGTAATTTCTAAAGTTTTGTTTTTCTACTTTTTTATGTTCAGTGGTAGAAAAAGACCCACATGAGAGACAGACACCTGGATGAAATAATTGATATAGAAAATAGTACAAGAAAGACAAGAGCCATGTCAACATGGCCATCCCCCGCTCATTGGAAGAATGTATATGTAGTAGAGTAGAATAATTCCATTTTGAGGGTTTTTGGTAATGAAAACTGATGGCTATAGTGATTACAGAATTGAAACCTATGTGAATACTGATGGCTGAAAATAACAAAGGGCAATAACTGAAAAATAATGCAGGGTAGGTTATCATTCTTGTGTGCTGCATCCCTCCTCAGTAAAATCTATCCACCTATGAAGTTTCAAGTTGATACCTCAAATACTTTTTGAGAAAAAAATTGAATTGAAAAATTAAGTATGAAAAATAACAAAGGGCAATAACTCAAAAACAAGATTGCATTTGAGAAAAATGCTATGCCACCGCATTAATACAACACTGAATAGTAGTGTAGGAACAGATTTTTTTTGTTTCTTTACAATTTTGAAGATTGTCATAAAGCATAGATCCCTGACCTATCTTATTCTTATTATCAGATTAGTGGTTAAATCTAATGTTAACTCAATAAAAGATCAGAGTAGAAATATATCAATGCACTCGAGTCTAGTGAATTTGGTGGTGAAGGTCATATTTCACATAGCCTTAATTTCATGACTACATCAAAAGGACAACACAGTAAGAAAATTGTCAAAATCTAGGTCAGCTGAAATCAAAGTTCACTTTACATCTTAATCTGTGCACAGGGTTCAAATGTCATAGCTGTACATCAAAGGACAAGAAAGTAGGTCACATCAACAAAATCTAGGTACATCTTGATACAGGTCCACCAAACAACATTTCAAGTCAAATATCTAAGCTGTAGCTTTCTCCCATTCAGAAAACATTTGTTTCATTTTCTGTTTTTACTATGTGTACATAATGAGAATCACTGCCCCGGGCAGGGCCAATTTTTGACACCAGGGGAAAAATTTGAACAACTTTAGTAGAGGACCTATAGATGATATTATATAGCAAACATCAAGGCTCTATCCCTTGTTCCTTCAGACAAAAATATTTTTTATTTTTTTACTATGTGTACATAGTGAAAATCAATGACCCCTGGGGGTGGGGCCAATTTTGACCCCAGGGCTATAATTTGTACAATCTTGCTAGAGGTTCACTACATAATGTTTCATGCAAAATATCTTAACTCTAGTCTTTGTAAATTTAAAGAAGATGATTTTTTAAGTTTTTACTTTATACATATAAGGAAAACCTATGGCCCCCGGGGCGGGGCTAATTTTGACACTAGAGGCAAAATTTGAACAACTTTGGTAGAGTTCCTATAGATGATATCATTTAACAAATATTAAAGCTCTAAGCCTTGTACCTTCAGACAATAAGATTTTTTACTATATATATATTTAAAATCAATGACCCCTGGGACGGGGGCAATTTTAACACCAGGGCTATAATTCAACAACAATATTGCTAGAAGTTCACTTCACAATGTTTCATGCAAAATATCTAACCTCTAGCATTTGTCAATTGCTAGAAGAATTTTTTTTTAAGTTTTTACTATAAGTTTTTACTATATACATATAAGGAAAACCAATGACCCCCTGGGCGGGGCCAATTTTGACCCCCAGGGCTATAATTTGAACAATCTTGGTAAGGGTCTACCAGACAATGCCTTATGCAAAATATCTAAGCTCTAGGCCTTTTGGGTCTTTACAAGAAGGTATTTTAAGTTTTTACTATATGTACATATAGTGAAAATCAATGACACTCGGGGCGGGGCCGATTTTGACCCCAGGGCTATAATTTGAACAATCTTGGTAAGGGTCTACCAGACAATGCCTTATGCAAAATATCTAAGCTCTAGGCCTTTTGGGTCTTTACAAGAAGGTATTCTAAGTTTTTACTATATGTACATATAGTGAAAATCAATGACCCCCGGGGCAGGGGCAATTTTGACCCTAGGGCTATAATTTGAACAATCTTGGTAGAGGTCTACCAGACAATGCCTTATGCAAAATATCTAAGCTCTATCCCTTTTCAGTCTTTACAAGAAGGTATTTTAAGTTTTTACTATATGTACATATAGTGAAAATCAATGACCCCCGGGGCGGGGCCGATTTTGACCCCAGGGCTATAATTTGAACAATCTTGGTAGAGGTCTACCAGACAATGCCTTATGCAAAATATCTAAGCTCTAGGCCTTTTGGATCTTTACAAGAAGATTTTTTAAATTTATTCTTTTAATTCCTTTTGGTTGCCATGGCAACCAGATTTCTGCATGGAATGAAATTCTTTGAACAACTTTGGAACCCCTTCACCCAAGGATCAATCCTGCCAAGTTTGGTTGAAATTGGACTAGTGGTTTTTCACAAGAAGATTTTTTAATTTCACTATATAATCTATATAACACACACACACACAAACAAACAAACACACACACACACACACACACACATACACACAGGTGAATCGCTAAATGCCACCGCATCGCAGATGCTGCGGTGGCATAATTATAAAAGGTACAGTTATCATTCTTGTGCAGTGCACACCTCCTGAGTGAGATCTATGCACCTATGAAGTTTCATTTTGATATCTCAAAGGCTTTTTGAGTTATGCCCTGGACAAAAATTAATTTTGAAAAATAACAAAGGGCAATAACTCAAAAATAATGCAGGGCAGAGTTATCATTCTTTAGCACTGCGCTCCTCCTCAAAGAGATCCATCCACCTATGAAGTTTCAAGTTGATACCTCAAATACTTTTTGAGATAAGCTCTGGACAAATAGCATGAAAAAAACAACAAAGGGCAATAACTCAAAAATTGTATAGGGAAGAGTTATCATTCTTGCGCACAACATTCCTCCTCAATAAGATCTATCCTTCTATGACATTTCATGTTGATATCTCAAACACTTTTTGAGTTATGCTCCGGTGAAAAATTAGGTATGAAAAATAACAAAGGGCAATAACTCAAAAATTATGACAGGAAGAGTTATCATTCTTGTGCACTGCACACCTCCTGAGTGAGATCTATGCACCTATGAAGTTTCATGTTAATATCTCATAGGCTTTTGGAGTTATGCTCTGGACAAAAATCAATTTTGAATAATAACTCAAAAATCATGCAAGGTAGAGTTATCATTCTTGTGCACTGCACTCCTCCTCAATGAGGTCTATCCACCTATGAAGTTTCAAGTTGATAACTCAAATACTTTTAGAGATATGCTCCGGACAAAAATTTCGGACGGAAGGACGGACGGAAGGTCGGACGGACGGAGACTATTTCTATATCCTCCGCCGAAAATTTTCGGCGGGGGATAATAACTTTCCCGCATGAAAGAATACACAGTCTCTGACAAAACAATAAGAATAATAACCAACAACAGTAAGAGGAAAACTGGTTATGTCACAGCAAACTCAACATGAGCCGTGTCATGACAAAACCAACATAATGGGTTTGCGACCAGCATGGATCCAGACCAGACTGAGCATCTGCGCAGTCTGATCAGGATCCTGCTGTTCGCTTACCAACCCTATTACAAGTAGAGAATCCAGGAACGATGGTTAGGAAACTACCCGCCTATATGACTGAAATACTGTTGGAAAAAGGTGTAAAATGAAACAAACAAACAAAAACAAGTAGAGAAACTGATAGCGAACAGCATGGATCCTGATCAGACTGCGCGGATGGTCTGGATCCATGCTGGTCGCAAATGCACTTTGTTGGTTTTGTCATGGCACGGCTCATATATTGATTTACTTAAGGAAATGTATTAAAATCATTTTTCTAATTGGTGAAATATAATTATGAATATAAATATAATTATTAATGTTTCCTTCTTCTTTGAAGATATTACAATACTATTAACTAAACATGAAAACTTACTTAAAGATATCTGGAGACATAAAGTTGAGCAAATGAAACAACTCTTCAAGATTATTCTGAAGTGGTGTACCAGTCAACAATAACTTGTAACCCAGTCTGTAGTTACTAAGGATACGGAAAAACTGAAATATACAATTATGATGTGTCAAAGCGAAAGTCCCTTGCTTAGTACAGAAATTTTAAAACAATTATACAATTCCAGATACAAGAGAACTGAAATGTCACTGCACAACTTTAAAATTAATGCAGTTTCTATAAATACATTTACATATATATAAATTATAAGTTACAAGATTGTTATGACTAGAACCCTGAACAACAATATGTTAAATTTGTCTTTTATAAAGCTTAAAGAGATCAATAAAAAGTTTTAAGGATATAATTCACTGTATATAAACTTGAACTGGTTAGCATTTCACATTTAAAAGGATATGATTCACTGTATACTAGCTTGAACTGGGTTTTTTTTTCAGTCTAAAGGACATAATTCACTGTATATTACCTTGGACTGGTTATTTTTCAGTCTAAATAATTCACTGTATATTACCTTGGACTGGTTATTTTTCAGTCTATGCGCCTCATCCACCACTAATACAGCCCAGTCTATAGATCCTAGGGTAGCAGCATCTATACTAATTAACTCGTACGAGGTTAGGAGGACATGAAACTTCACTTGACTACCTTGTTTCATCTTCCAGGACTTCGTACCTCCTCTTATTGCACCTTCCTCAAATGAAAACTCATGTTCCCTAAGAAAAATAAGGTTACATTTTAATACCATATACTCTATGCTGAAAATATTTTCTTTCTGATTAAATATTCTTAATTTTTTTATTCCAACAAAGGAAAATTTGGAGGGTTGAATTCTTCCTTTTTAAGGCATTTAGGCAGACAAAGAATTTACAAGAATAAAAACATCAATTTTAGCTTCTCAAAATATAAAATTTATGGGAAAATGTTGCAAATAAAATAAATTGATAATTTAGTTTGGGGAAAAATATTTAAAATTTTTAAAAATTTACAGCCCAAATTTGCCCTCTGAAATTGCTTTAAACTCCTTCAAAAATTTGTTTTTTCTGGTGTCAGGTTACTCACTGGCTAATTAACTTTTTAATTTATTTTTTTTCCAATTAGAACAGTTTTAGAGGATTTGTATTTTGTATGGAGTTAAAATACCCCTTTGTTTACATTTTGATACTTTGTGACAAATAATTTCTCAGTCGGAGCTTCTTTTTCTTAAAACCGGTTTTCCATTTATGTTGTAATGTTATCAAAAAAACAGTCTGACATCACAATTACCTGATCACTGCCCTACAATCTTTATCACCAGTGTAAGTCACTACATACAAGTTGGGGGCCCAGAACTCAAACTCTCTCTCCCAGTTGATAATAGTAGACAAAGGTGCTCCTACTAAGAAAGGTCCTTTACAATGGCCCTATAAAAAAGTTATATTATATATATATACATGATGCTACAATTAAATAAAAAGAATATAAAAAACAAAAGTAAATAATAGGATAATCAAATAATTTCTACAGAAAAACATTGATGTGTCGAACTTCGATTGGGCTTATTATAGTTATCATCTTTAACTATAGTAGTAATCATCTTTAAATATAGTAATCATTTTTAACTACAGAAATAATCTTTAACTATAATAAACATCTCTAACTAAAGTAACAATCTTTAACTTTTGTTTTTGTTTGTTTGTTTCATTTTACACCTTTTCCCCAACAGTATTTCAGTCATATAGGCGGGTAGTTTCCTAACCATCATTCCTGGAGAGTTACACCAGTACTAGACTACCTTCCTCCGTGCTAAACTACCAAAGCATCTCCCAGAGATCAAACCCAAGCCAGAGAGGTAAATGGATTAGAAGTCATCGACTCTAATCACTCGATCATGGAGGCGGTTCAAACTTTAACTACAACAGTTATCATCTTTAACTATAGTAATCATCTTTAATTAACTAATTATTTACAGATATCTTCTAGTGAAGACAATTACCTCATTATATAAAGATGACAGGAATGATATTGTCTGTATAGTTTTTCCTAGTCCCATCTCATCAGCAAGAATTGTGTCAGTACCGTTAGCCCAGGAATATCTGAGCCAGTTTAAGCCCTCTAGTTGATACGGATGTAAGGTTCCACCAGTTGCCTGGATATAATCGGGGTCAGTGGCAAGCTGCTTTTTGAACTGTGAAAAAAAAGGAAAAAAGATTTTTCTAAAATATATAATATCATAGACAAAAACATTATGTTGAATCTCTTTAAATTAATCTTAAAGATATAATTCACTCAGTTTTTATCTAGAGCTCTTAAATAGTAGGTAATGTAAACTACAAGATGGAAAATGTAGATATATTTACAATAGCATGAAACAAACCCTCTTTTATTTGTGATTATCATCCCCATACATATCTACGAGGGCTGTCCTGAAAGTTCGTAGACAAGGCTATAAAATTATTATAAGCAGTCATATTTATATGATGATTAAATATTTTGCTTAAGTATTTATTCTGCTACAAATTTCTAAATTAAAAAACATGATAAAAGTTGTATTGGCAAATCGCCAATCACCATGGCAACATGATCAACGAATCACGGAGCACTTTGATTTCATGGCAATAGCTACTCGAATAAAAAGTGGCTAAAGGTTGTAATTTTAACGCAAACTCTTGTTTTAATGTTGTGACATCAAAGGGTACTATTGCGTGATATGTAGTGAAAATTAAGTCATCATACGCAAAGAAACAACTTGTTAACGACGATTATAGGCAATGAAGTTGCGTAAATTTTGTGTCGCAAAAATGACGTCAAATTCAAGGACGGAGCAACGTAATGTTATTTAACTTCAAAGTAACGCTAATAATGATTATAATCTTTACTTGAAAAACAACCATAAATTGTTAAGGACAACTTGTGTTTAATCGTCAAATACGATTAAGAAGCGGTGATGACAGTATTTTGTATAAGAAACGTAGAAACGTATCAGACGACCAAAAGTAGCATGGCCGAAATGTCGTAGATTGTGTTACAACAATCCTTGAAAAAGACAGACATTTCACACACTGTATGGGAACCAGTGACACCTTTGTTGTTGTTGTTGTTTTTTTTTTAAAAGTAGTATATGAAATTCATAAAGTAATAGCAAGGGAACATAACATGTATAAAGTATACGCCAGGCAGGTTCCGTGGCTGTTTAAATCGGAAGAAATTGAATAGTGGATAAACATGAAATTAAATTGACGCCGTTGACGTTGTCAAAGTGCTCCATGACGATGTCTATATGTTGTATGTAAATGCTGTTAAAATACAAACGTAAGTCACAACTCAGTAATTTTTGATAAATGTGTTCGCTTGATATGTATACTTTTGCTGACAAAATTTGTACAATGTATGTTTTGTTATATAACAAGAGCTGTCGGTAGGACAGCATGCTCGACTATTCTAAGTGTTTGATATTAAAAGAGCCTTGATAATGTAACATTTTCTAAATTAACAAAAGGGCCAATTTTTTCTTTAAATCCATGTTACGGCTAAAGGTCTTCGGGAGAGTCCTATAATATGCTCTCAAAGAAGTGCATAAAATTTCAACTTGTTTCAAAGCGAGATGTCAATGGAATAGGAAAATATCTGAGGTGGTATGCAATTTGAACGTAAATTCTTAGTCAGTAATTAGCATTATTATACTCACCCTTGTGACAATTTTTGAATAGTCAAGCCAATACTGACTATCCAAAAATTGTCACAAGGGTGTTTTATTGAGTATAATAATGCTAATTACCTATAAATACATAAAATTGACATAAAAAGGTACAAAGGCTTGTTATTAAGATGTTTTATCAAGTAAATCACTGCTTTATTATTATGAATGCAAAAAAATGTCCCAAAAAGGCACAAACTCTTCAGTAGTTATGGACATAACAGCTTACAAGCAAAACTTTACCAGGAATTTATAAGTTGAAAAAGGGGAGAAAAATCAGCCTAAATGCAAGATAGAATTATGGATCTTGGTCAGTGACCTACAATTATGATTCTAAATGCATATGTGAAGTTTTAAATAAATATCTTTAATAGTTATTGAGATATGTAAAACTTGCATGTAAACATTAACCAAGAGACTAAGTAGAAAAGGGGAGATGAATCAGCCTTAATGCGAGTAGAGTTATGGAACTTGGTCAGTGACATACAACAATTATGACTCTCCAATTATGACCCTAAGTACATGTGTAAAGTTTCAAGTAAATATCTTTGAAGACCTTTAACCTTTTACCAAAATTTCTAAGTTTCAAAACAAATAATTCTACAAATATTGCAGGCAGAGTTATGCGATTTTGCAAACTGATATACATTGTTACTATAAATAAGTATTGTAAGGTTAAATTGAAAATCTCAAGCAATAATTTGAGATATTTGACTTTACAAAAAACTTTAACAAAAAATTTCTAAGTTAAAAAGGGGCAAAATTCTGTCAATATTGTAGGTAGAGTTATCCAACTTGTCATTCTGATGTACATTGTTACTATAAATAAGTATTGTAAGTTTCAATTGAATATCTCAAGCAATAATTGAGATATTTGACTTTACAAAAAACATAAACCAAAATTTCTAAGTTAAAAAGGGGCATAATTCTGTCAATATTGTAGGCAGAGTTATTCAACTTGTCAATCTGATGAACATTGTTACTATAAATAAGTATTGCAAGTTTCAATTGAATATCTCAAGCAATAATTGAGATATTTGACTTTACAAAAAACATAAACCAAAATTTCTAAGTTAAAAAGGGGCATAATTCCGTCAATATTGTAGGTAGAGTTATCAAACTTGTCAATCTGATGTACATTGTTACTATAAACAAGTATTGCAAGTTTCAATTGAATATCTCAAGCAATAATTGAGATATTTGACTTTACAAAAAACTTTAACCAAAATTTCTAAGTTAAAAAGGGGCATAATTCCGTCAATATTGTAGGTAGAGTTATCCAACTTGTCAATCTGATGTACATTGTTACTATAAATAAGTATTGTAAGTTTCAATTGAATATCTCAAGCAATATTTGAGATATTTGAATTTACAAAAAACTTTAACCAACGCAGACGCCGACGCGGACGCCGACGCCGGGGCAACTACAATAGCGCTCATATTCTTCGAATAGTCGAGCTAATAAAAAATGAAGAAGTATATGAACTTTCTGGACATCCCTCGTAATACAGTTATCACGGAAATATTTACCGTCTTCAATAAACTATTTTAGTCTCACCCCCGATACTATCACTTATTCCTTATAGGGTTAGTCAACTAGAACAACATAATTGGATCAAAGGTCAACAAGAATTATCTTTACCTTAAATGTACTATAGATGGATCTAACTGGATGTTATGGTAAAATTATAGTAGAATGTTTGTTATACAAATTAAATTACTGGAACACTAAATAAGAGGTTTGATTGATATTCAGGGCATAATTTGACATTATGTTAACATAACAACATGCTGGAACTACAGTGGGAAATTATGTTAACATAAAAGGGTATGGCAAAATATAGCAGGCACTTATACTTACATCTGAGATTGGATACTGTGGAGGCATGCCAGGGGGACGTGGAGAATCCACAGAGTCATCATCTTTACGTTTCTTTCCTTTTTTACCTGGCTTACTTTTCTTCTCCTCGCCACCACCTCCAAACATTATACGTCTGAAATCAATATCAAGTAAACTGTTCACTTAAATGTTTTGTAACAATGATGGTATATATTGTAAATGCAAAAATCTAGTTCATCTCTGAAACCAGACTGCTAGAAAGGTAAAAAAACATCAATTCTGTGAATTATTAAAACATAACACTTCAAATATGCTTTATCAACTTTTTTCTTACTTTTAAGCTGGGTTACAAATGGTAAGTGAGGGGCGTCCGTGGCCGAGTGGTTAAGGTCGTTGACTTCAAACCACTTGCCCCTCACCTCTGTGGGTTCGAATCCCGACAGGGACTTTGGATTCTTTCATGTGAGGAAGCTATCCAGCTAGCTTACGGAACGTCGGTGGTTCTACTCAGGTACCCGTTCGTGCCTGAAATAATGCACGGACGGGCACCTGAGGTCTTCCTCCACCAGTAAAGCTGGAACGTTGCGATATGACCTATACTGTGTCGATGTGACGTAAAACCCAAAACAAACAAATGGTAAGTGGTTCTACTCAGGTGCCTACTCGTTCTTGAAATAATGCATCAAGGGTCACATGAGAATTTACCACACCAGTATAGCTGGAAAGTCCCTATATAAACCTTTACAGTGTCAGTGTGTGGTATACAGGTCAAATTAACTTTAGATTTTGTTATAGTCTAGTATATGTATAATTAGTTTTACTCATGTGACTCACAGAAAATTCCACAAATATTCTTTGGAATGTATTGTTAATGTTCAATAGAAGTGGCGGCAGTCTTTTTATATTTTAGGCATATGCTAAATTTTATCCTAAGCATTTTTTTCTGCATCATTTATCGGTTCAATCACCATAATTAAAGTCAGTCTTTTTACATATATAGCGAATTCAGCTGAACTGAGTAACGAAAAAATGAGCATAATGTCACTTTATACAAAACCAACAAGATTTCATAATTTTTCTATTCAATCAAGGGTTAATTCCTTGTTCTTTCATTTGTAAAATTTCCTTCATTGTATCAAGCAAGCATCAATATCTAGATCGTTTTTATTTCAACAGTTTCCTTACCTTAGATTATCATAGAACTCCACATATGTTTTAAACTCCGGCACTTTACTATCTTCCGGCTCCCAGGTAGCCATGTCATAATTCAAATCTCTCCACTTTACTAGATAATAGTTCACACCTCGTTCAATTCTGGAATATTTTTTTATAAAATCTGTTTAATAATAACTTTTAAATGCCTCGATTTTACATCAAAACTAAGGCAATTTCGGATTAAATGTTTTGTACATAAAAATAAGGTGAAAAATATTAACTTCCCCCAATAGCGGTATTATAGTTCAGAAACATAATAACTCAAAGACATGTAAAATTCTTCACAATATTTATAAAATTTCTATATAATTATAATATTCTAAAATATTTATTCATTTTAGTTGTCTAGTGTGCAAAATTAACAATAGTTTATATATCAATCAATTAGTTACACAATCAAGCTGTTACTGGCTCTACGCTAGCATTTATGTATTCTTGTCAGAGAAATTACTAAAATCCAACAGTAAAAGATAAAAAAAAGCTTTCTAATTTTGTTAAATCTTGACAGTACCTGTGATTTATAATTCTGTGTATTTGAAGCCATTCCGGTCTAACACCGTATTTATAGAACCTTTCCTCTAAATTATCATCATTATCATTTTTCTTCCTGTCCTTACCGCCCCAACTTGAGCCGTCTTCAAGAGGCGGGGGCTCGTCCATATCATTCTTTCTGATGTACATACGTAACAGTGCTGTTTGGAAAACATCCAGCTACAATATAAAGTAAGTCCATTTTCTAGATCATTCCTTGTGCATTTGCTAATACCAACATTTGTATAAGACAAACAACTTGTTACTGAACAAACTTCAAATAATTTGTTTAATAAAAAAATTTAAATCAACAGCATCTGGTTTATAAATAGAATTTTGGGCAATAACAGCCTTTCTGATTGGATAATAACTTGTCAACAAATCAAGGTCGCAGGTCAAGTTTATGTTACTAGAGTAAAACATATGAAAGGATAGTGTTGGCTTTGATCATATGTATTTTATACTGTTTGTCAGTAAATTATATGAAAATACAAAATGCATGTATACAGTCTGTAACTAATGATATGTTACCTGGAGTTCCGACACCCAGTCACAATGCCACATTGACAAACCATGGAAACGTACAAAATATTCCCTCTCAGGTCTGTGATCCTACCATATATAAAATACCTTTGTTCAACTTCAGTCATATAAAAAAAAGGCTTTGGAAAAGATATGTTTAATTAAATATAACAATATTAAAGTAGAATACTTGCAATAACAGAGGCTAAATGATTTTGTGTATGAATTATTTATGATAATCACATTAACATATGTATTTTATTGTTATACCAATGTAGAATCAGTTCAATTATATCATGAAATTTATAAAGTGAAATACTTGTGCAGAAACTTGTTAATAACTTTTTTGTTATACTGCTGTAGAATCAGTCAATTATCTTATGTATTTTATAAAGTGAAATACTAATTTAAAATGAGTGAAAATATTTTATGTATTTTATAAAGCGAAATACTAGAGTAGACATCTAGTTAAATATTTAATGTTATACCTATGAAGAGTCACAGTGTCTATTATAGGAGGGTGGATGGGGGGATTCACCCATATTTTTGAGAATTCCCCCTAGGCAGGGGGAAAATTTTACATACAGAAAGAAGCAAAAAAAAAATCAACAAATATAATAAACTCTCACATTTCAATAAAAAATCACCCTTGTTTTTCAAATTCTAGAAAAGACAATGAGTCAGTTAAATGATCTAATGTATTGTATATATAAAGTGTTATACCGGTGTAGAATCGGGTTCTAGATGATGCTCGTGGGTGTGATCCATTTCCTCCATCTTTTTGTGTGGTGTTGGTGGCTCCGTCCATCTCCATGTTAATACCTTAGCTACCTTACCCTTCATAGGAGGGCACGAACACCTTCAAATAAATGATGATACAATATGGGAAATGGTCAAAAGCCCTCTTGCCAAAAATGACAAGGCGGATAAAATCCCTCCAGTAAAAATGACTGGGCAGACTAAAGCCTCCTGTACAAATTACAGGGCAGGGCAAACAAATGCCCTCCCGTTAAAATGACTGGGCAGACTGTCTGCCTTGTCATTTTTGGACGCGAGGGCTTTTGTCCTACACTGAAGTAATTTTAATAACAATACTTATAATACTATGTAAAAGATAATTAAAATAAAATATTTTCTAAAATATGTCACATATCATATATAATACACAGTGGCAAAATGTAAACACCCTTGTCATGTAAATATCTTACCATTTAACCAAGAAAAAAATACTGCTTTTCACGTTTTTTATATGCTGTTGTAATGAACCTTTGCATATATATGAAGCACAAGTAAAAAATTAGAGCAATGAAAGGTTAAATACACAAGTAATTTACCTAGGACAAATCCAGTGCCCATCTGGAATACCTTTAACAGGTGGGTTAAGACAATGTGGATGGTACGAGGAAGGGCATGTATCACAACACATAAGTTCACCGCCATCTTTACAAACACGACAAAACTCATTATGATCATCCTCAACCTCTGGCGGTTCCTTCGTGTCGGCCCCTTCACTCTCCTGTCACAATACAAGTAATTACTTACATATGAGCCGCGTCACGACAAAACTAACATAATGCCTTTGCGACCAGCATGGATCCAGACCAGCTTATCAGGATCCATGCTGTTCGCTTACCAACCATATTACAGGTAGAGAAACTGAAAGCAAACAGCATGGATCCTCATCAGACTGCCCGGATACGCAGGCTGGTCTGGATCCATGCTGGTCGCAAACACACTATGTTGGTTTTGTCGTTAACTATGTATGATTGCTACATTAATGTATATGGATAAAGATAATTAAGTATGTATTAAGATGACAAACATTACACCTGCATAAAAATATTGATAAAATTAGCAGACATTGTGACAGGCTAAATGTGAATATAAAATGTTCGACTATTCACATGGTATCTTTAATATAACAGTCTGAGATACCTATTCACAAAGTAAAATATTTAAAACATGTGATGTCAAGTCATAATCAATGGTTCTCAACGAAACATCTTTATGGTGTCATAAGACTGTAATCGTAAATAATTCCTATGTTTGTAATTATATATAGACTCCACATTAAACACAGAAATTGTAAATCTTAAGCTTTAAGTGTTTAATACACATACACAATGAGGACACGACCATTTCCCCTCAGGGGCCTCTTCCAATTCTGGTTCCAAACAGACAAGATGGTATGCACGTGGGCACGTGTCACACAGAATTATCTCCCCTCCTTGTTGACAAACTTCACAGTAATCTTGATGGTCAGTCTGTGAAGATATAATAAAATCAAAGTCAAAACATTACAAAACCGTCATTGCATCTTACACATTAAAAATTGGTCAAGCAGGGCTTCCATGTGATGAAGACAATTATTCCTAGTTTTAGCATTTTGACTTCCAATATATAACCCTTTCCTTTCTTTACCTTTATAATATGACTTCCAGTGACAGTCATTTTGCAGTCTCTGACTTCCAAATTTTGGAACTTAATGGAAGCCCTGGTCAAGTTTTCAATAATAAAAAGATACAAAAATAATATACAAGAATATGGTTGTTTGTTCTACACATTTATACAAATTATGATCTATGATAAGGAAATTTTTATCACATAGATTGAAGTATCAGTTACAAAGCCAAATAATTCAGTTATTTTTTTTCTTTTAACTCTGAAGAAATATTATTCTCCTATAACATATGCCTGTAACTGATTTGACTTACCCTAGCCTTGATAGCATTTGACAAAAGGTTAACAGTCTGACAAAATAGACAAGCATAATTTTCCATCATCTTAAACTACAAAATAGGATCATGCTCTGGATGGTATGTGTAAAGTTTCACAATGAAAACTGTAGGTATGGAAATATAACTTGGAATACAAAACAACATCAAAAATTTTGTATTCAAGATTTCACAAATTAATAAAAAGAGAAAGGAGCTGCGTCACGACAAAACCAACACAATGGGTTTGCGACCAGCATGGATCCAGACCAGCCTGTGCATCCGCGCAGTCTGATCAGGATCCATGCTGTTCGCTATCTGTTTCTCTACTTGTTAAGGGATTGCAAGCGACCAGCATGGATCCTGATCAGACTGCACGGATGCGCAGGCTGGTCTGGATCAATGCTGGTCCCAAACACACTATGTTTGTTTTGTCGTGACGGGGCTCAAATAAAAAAAATGAAAATCAACTGACCTCATAGCCATCTGCATCAGGATCCCCGCCAAATGATTTTCCCAATTTAAGTCTCTTCTTGCCTTTCTTGCCTTTAGCACTTTTTTTCTGACGTTTTGGTTTCTCTTCACGTTCTTGCTCAGCTATCATACTTGCCTCCTCTAGCTGACGTTCAAACTCTTCATCACTTGTGTTATTACCTTCCCCTTCATCCTACAATAATAATGTCATCTTCACATTTTTACAGTATATTTTCTAAGAACCAAACACCTGTGGGACTAGACAAAAAGTTTGAATTTTGGAAGTTTCCAGAATTCAGAAGTTTGGAATTATGTTAACACATTGGCATCAGCTGTTTAAGTAAGACAGGATGAAAAGTATGTGAAGCTATTAAAATTTGTAACATGGCAGAATTCGAGGAATCTTCAACAGCTATTTAAATATAATATCACCTATAACTATTGACTTTGTTGATACAAAATAAAATCAAGTTTATTATCACAATTTTTTCGATAAAAAACAAGTTTCTTATCACAATTCTTCTCATTTATTTCATTAAAAACTTAATCAAGACATGACATTCAATAGGGTCGGATAAAAAGGTCAGAAAAATTTTTGGGCGGGTTTTTTTATTCTAAAGTGTTTTTTCAAAGGGCCTATTTACAGTTTTCCTAAACCTGACTTTGGCAATAGTCTGAAGTTTTTCTTTGTCAAAGTTGAGATAAAAACTGCCTTAGGAAGATATGAAAAACACTGCCCCACACTTTTTATCATTTGAACTTGAAAATGAAAAACAATTGTGATAAATGTACAGTTATTCTGGCCTTTACCAAAAACACTATTTACACTTGAATAGGCATAATGTTAATCTTTTACCAATTAATTCTTCTTTTTTTCATAAATAAGCTCCAGGAAAAGTTATCTCTTCAAATAAGACTCTCTAAAGTGATATAAGTATAAAACTTAATAAAACATATAATGGTATTTTTGTCAACACATATTTCCTGTACTATAACAGACAGCAGTTACTTACAGAGCTACCCTTCTTTCTCCTCTTTTTCTTGGTCGACAGTTTAATTTTTAAAGGAGCCACAGACTTCTTCCCACGTTTCTTCTTACCAGATGATTTACTACCTTCCTACAAAAGTAAAGATTTCCAGTTGAATAAAAGGAATAATAAAATGCAATGACTTTATGACTTACACACCAAACAATCATAATATAAGTTAAATATTCACCAAAAACTACTTTCAGTTCTATGAGATTTCTATGGTAAGTGTCCAATTATCAAAATTTAATCCCTGACAAAATACACTCAATCAAAATATTGGATTTTCATATTATCTCTCCAACTTCAATATGTGACAAGCAGTGCACCATAATATTATCCTCGTTTCAACTTTTAACTCTTCAACTTTATTTCAGCATATACTCCTCAAATACACTATATACTGTACTTAACATCAGCAAACAGTCCTTTACTTTAACCTACACATCTCAACTTAGCTACACATTTCTCAACTTAAACATACACATCACAAGTTAAGAAAAAAGCCATGCCCTTTCAAACTTAAAAGTACCAGTCGCTTCATTTTCATGCAATTTTTAAAATTTTACTACTCGCTACTTAAAAAATGCACTTTTTCTTTAATTTACAATCTATTACATGCATTCTTAACCAAGCATAAACCACCTGTTTTGCTATGACATTAACCATGTTTGGCTTTGACATAATATAAATCTATATTGACCAATTTTCTACATATATACCCTGTACTGCTGTGCTGCTATAACATTTACTACCGCTGTAACATTCAGCTATGATATAAAAACTAACTGCTATGACATAAATCCTCATCAATGGTTGACATTCATGACATGAAAATCGATAGGTATGATATTTCTCCTAATAAATTATGACATAAACACTGTTCTGACCTGACATAAGCATTGATCTACTATGACATCAGCACTAATCAACTACTACATAAACTCTAATCAACTACGACATAAAACACTGATAACCTATGACATAAACACTAAACTGATCTGAAATAAATACTGATCTGATCTGAAACAAACACTTATCAACTAAGAAATTAAGACTTGAAGCTATATTAAAATACACATATTAGCTATGACGAAAGTACTTGCTGGTTATGACAATTACCGATCAGTTATGACATTTACCTTGACCAGTTATGACTTATACCCTGGCCAGTTATGACATTTACCCTGGCCAGTTATGACATTTACCCTGGCCAGTTATGACATTTACCCTGGCCATCTATGACATTTACCCTGGCCAGTTATGACTTATACCCTGACCAGTTATGACATTTACCCCAACCAGTTATGACATTTACCCTGACCAGTTATGACATTTACCCTGATCAGTTATGACATTTACCCTGATCAGTGATGACATTTACTCTGACCAGTTATGACATTTATGCTGACCAGTTATGACATTTACCTGGAATGACTCCTCATCGTCTTCATCTTCCACAACATCATCATAATCAGCTCCTTTCTTTTTCTTTGGTCCACGCTTCTTTTTCGGTTTCTCTTCAACAAACTCTTCCTCGTCATACTCTTCATCTAAAACACATAACATAGCATCTAAAACACATAACATAGCATCTAAAACACATAACATAGACACAGTCTATCAGGAGATTAATTAAAATCTGGTAAACCAGTCATCTCCCTGTACAATATTCTTCCTGTGATCATTGTTTCCTGATCTAAATAAAAGCAATTAATGTGTTCCTACAGAAATATAACATAATATATTGAAATCTTGAATAAAAGGGATGAAATCACACTTCTACATAATAGAACCAAAGAACCAAAATTAAAGAATCGTCAAATAATGCCAAAGCTGAAAATTTTGCAGCCTTGGTTTGAATGAGTCTGGTCATGGAAGGTAGGGATAATTGCAATCTATATGTCCACGCCCCCTAGCATCAGCTTAATCAATCAATCAAACTGAGTCTGCAATTTCCATGTAAATTTGTTGTGATTTATGCCTCCAAGGGATCACTTTTCTTCCAGATTTTTCTTAATCTTACTATTTTGCAAAAACAAAACCAGAATATTTCATGAAAACTTATTCTATTTACTAATATAAATTTTAACTCCTCTATAATATCAAATTACAGAATTACAACTAAATCCAATGAAAAACTGTGTCACTTTCAGTTTCAAGTATCACAAGCTCATAACAGAAAACTTAAATCTCCAATCAACACTAACACCTGTAAGAAAAGCAAGGTGAAAAATTTGATTGATGTTATAAATACAGCTAAATAATGGGACTGAAGGTAAATTTTAAGTGATGGTATAAATACAGTAAAAATTTGACTGGTGTTATAAATACAGCTACACATTAACTCTTTACCATCCATAGCATCGAGAGCTTTCTTTGATTTTTTGGTTGCTCGGCGACGTTTTGTAGGCTTCTCTTCCATGTATTCTTCTTCAACTTGTTCTTCCTCCTCCTCAATTTCTTCTCGTTCCACGTTCTTAGGTTTTCGACCGCGTCTTTTCTTTCCCGTAGAAGCTTTCTCTTCAGTGTAGTAATCTTCTGCAGTGTCTTCATCTGAAAACAATCGTTTGAAATGTAGCAAAAACTTAACGTCATAAACACCGCCGGATATTAAATCGGAAATAGTTTAAAAATCTGTCTGATGTAAATATAAGTTGTCAGGCTTCCAAAACAAACAATTAGTGTCATTTAATTAGAGATATATTGGGATTTTATTTTTACCTGTTTTGGTCAATTTTTATGTAAAATATTTCACAAGAATTCAAATTTGTACAATAAATGTATGAAACAGGGTCAAAATTCAAATAAATAAACATTTTCAGTCATTTATTGAAGTTGCCTCCCTTTGACCTTTAAGTTACTGCACACAGACAATTATAGATATCTGCAAGTTTATGTAGATTTTTCAGTTTTGTGAAAGTTTGAAGGGAAATGTAGATACTTGACACTGGTTTGTTAATTACATGTTTTTGGAATATATTTCAGATTGTTTAGTCCGAGATTGTTCGGGTTTTATAATTTAGAAATAGCTGTGTTTTATTACACACAAAACTGGTCTGTAAAAAATCAACATATACAGTAACTGTTATTAAATGTGCATAGAAGTTTAATTTGTAGGTTCAGACCCAAGACATGTATTAATTACCTAGTACTATATAAATGTACGAGCCTGTGGTGAAATTTATCTTTTGATGACATTTTATTTCAAAAACGCTCAAACGACAATGTGTGGGATAGTAGCTTTATGTAATATTATTGTTTTTTAATGCTTTGTTTTTGGTTTCTTGAGAATCTTAACACTAGTATCTTACTTCTTTTAAACTATAAGTGAGAGTTCACAGTACAAAATTGAGAAAATTTTTAACTGTTTCAAATTGTCTCCCTATATTTTATCCTAAAAGAGCATGGAACCAGCGTATCAATGGTTAGTTTAAATTATTTTAATGCATGTTTTCTTACCAGAATCTCTAGCAGCACTGGAAGTGGGTGTGTCCATTAATTTGTCAGTAGGCGGAGCATCTGTTGTGGGACTTACTAGACCCAACTTAGACTTTTTGTATTGGCCTGCAGCAGCAGCAAATTCCCGCCATTTTGCAGCAATTAGTGTGACCAGCTTAGCCTGAGGAACCTATTAAAACATGAACAATACTGTTGTTATTTGTAAAGTAACTTTTCATTGGATAATAATGTCAGATGCTTACATAAAATATATGTATGTCTGTTGTTAAGGTATGTCAAAGTTCCGTAAGCTAACTGGATAGCCACTTCACATGTTAGATTCCGAAGTCCTATATATGTATAGGATTTGAAATTTCAACGGTTAGGAGCAAGTGGTTTAAAGTCAACGGCATAAACCACTCAGCCACAGAATAAATCATATTGTTTCAGTATAGAAACTGCAACTATATAGATAGTTAATGTTTTCACTTACTTTTGGGTTTTGTTCAGCAAGCAATGGCTGGATGTGTTCTCTGAACAACTTGTAGTTAGTCAATGCCTCAAAGTCCTCATCCGTGTATTCTAGTTCAATATTTGCAAGCCCATTCTTCCTAGCTATATCTTCTGATGTTTCTGGACCAGGCTACAATAATAAATATATAGTTTACAATCATATTATAATATAGAGAATATTGAATAAGTGTAAGCTCAATACTGAATTTATTGCACGAGTTGAATAAAATTATATTATGCGAGCATCTGGCAAGCATATAATATTATTCAACCAGTTCAATAAATTCAGTAATGAACTTACTCGAATGTAATATTCTATTTATCACATACCAAAAAAATAAAGACTGTTTAAAGTGAAAAAGTGTTTTTTTATTGAGGCATCTACAGTATAACTATAACATTTAGCGAGTCTTTACGATATGTTTGTACAACACTAATGACGTCACATCAAAATATATGCACGGCTGTGCAATTCCATTTTCATTAAGTCACAAAATCGGCATGGTTGTGTGATTAACAGTTATAGTTGCTGTGACATTTTGGAGATTGACTCTATGATAAGTTGAACAGATACTTAATAGGACTATCACAAGGATTATCTTGAAATGCAACTTGTATTTATCTCGAGTGGAGGAACAAACTGTAATCTGTTCTAGTAAAACCCACAAAATCTAATACAAGTACAGTATCAAGTAGTCTATTGATTATATGCCTTTTGAAATTTAAACTACAAATTCAACCACAACGTAATTGGCACAATGCCAGCAATTTCATTCTGGATCACATTCAAATGTGATGCAGATATTTTCACTATCAAGTGGTATAAGTGGATGTGTTGTTGAAAAATATGTTCCAAGTTTAATACATGTATAAGGGATGTTATTGATATACACATGGCCTATCTAAAGAGCGGGTACTGAAGTTATTATATATATTATATATTAATTTCCACTTACTTAGACTATACATATGATAAAACAACATAGCAGCCTTTCTTCTTCTACTGGCTATATCTGAGAACTTTACTTTATTTCATCTGCTTGTTTGTGTTGCCATGCTCGATATTATATACTAAGGCTTGACCACATTTATTTCAACTTGTTCTTATTTGTGCACAATTAAACAACCAAGCCTATGTGACTGATGATGTCATAAAGTTTGATTACAATTGTTAGCTTTATTATAATGATAGATAACCTCCCTTTAACCACACATTACCCACTTAAATCATTAAGCTTTTTCCTATTGTTGCCGCCAAGCCTTTTGGCATTCTGACAGGCCCTATTTAGGCCCTAACTCTGTTTTTGTTCGAAATGTTTCTAATAAATCCCTTATACTGGGCAAGAATTTTGAAATTCAAGCTAAAATAATGTCCTAGTAATGTAACGAGTGAAAACCCTTCTACCCGTGGTGCACAAATCTAGTTTTATAAAACTTCTTCTTTTTCTATTTTGATCGTCACCCCTTACCAATACAGGTAACATTAATATTTACATATTTGAATTCTGTTACGGGCTAGGTCTAAACAATTGTGCCCGTCATCAGTATTGGTTTCAAATCATGACAGTTTAAATTTTGGATTTTTCAATGGAAAAGCCTGTCAGAATGTAGGTGGCTAATCATTAGCCCTTTTCTATAATAATAAGCACTGATCTGTGCATTCTGACAGGCTCTTTTCTGTCGGGAAGCTCAACGTCGCCATTGAATCCTTAAAACTGTTGGTGGACGTCAAAATCCAATTAACAAAACAACAAATTTCAATTTAATTTGAATTACTGGTTGCAGTTTTACCTACCGGCTTGAGTTTTTATCATTTCGTAAGTTACAATACAAAGGACTCATAATTAACTTTTACCCACTTAATTCAATTTATATATGCTGCATTATCTCCAAGTTCTAACAATTTGTTAATAAGACAAGTCACCTAACATTCTGCCCCAAAATGCATAATTTAAATTTTCTTAAGCATTTGAAGTAAACACAAGGACACCCCTAGAATTTCATGTAATATAAATTACACACTGTAAAACTGGTGTTAACAAACCTCACTAAAGTAAAATTTTGCTACCACACAATGACACAACATAAAATAAAATTTGTCTGGAGATCTAAAACTTACATCATCGTCATGATGATGCTTCTTTTTCTTTTTCTTCTTCTTCCCACTTCCATCTTTCTTCTTCCTTTTCTTTCCTTTCTTTTCTCCGGTTTCTTCATCACCATCCAGTTCTTCCTCTGTAACAAACATAACTAAGTTTTCATAAACATACCTAAGTATTCACAATCATAATTATATAAGTCTCAGATCTATGTATGTAACATTAACAGAAATTAAAAAGAATTTGAGCCACTCATCTTGCAAAACTAGAGACTAATAAATGCTACCTCTCCTACATACACACATGACACTTCTTGTCTTGCATTTTATGTGTGATTTTCTTAATGTAACTGCTGCTTAAATTGAATCTATCAGCAAATTACTTAAAGCTCATTGCGAACATACCCTAAAAGTTCAGCTTGGTTTCTGGTTTTCCTTTGTTAATGTTAACATATCAAACAAAATTAAGCCACGCCATGACAAAACCAACATAATGGGTTTACTACCAGCATGGATCTAGACCAGCCTGCGTCTGCGCATCCGCACAGTCTGATCAGGATCCATGCTGTTCGCTTACCAACCCTATAGTAGAGAAACTGATAGCGAACATCATGGATCCTGATCAGACTGCGCATCTGCGCAGGCGCAAACGCAGTATGTTGATTTTGTCATGCTGGGGCTCAAAATTTTATTCCAGTAATCTCCTACTCTGTTAATTTTACACACATCCTGTTTGATGAGTACTCACAGATTACGTTTCTCCAATGATTCTTATGCATATTCTACTCTTAATGTCCTCAAGTTGAATTATCAGTCTTGTGTCACAATTTGACAATTAAAAGACGACAAAATTCTTAAAATACTTAAAAAACAAATATGTAAAAACAAAAACTTTATTACTAAAAATATATAAAAAAGCAAATTTCAAATGTTGCTTAGACTGATACATTTAGCCTGAAATCTTAGTAAGCTCTTAAAGTTGTTTTAGTTGACACATGTGATGTTCTGTTTTAAGAAAAACCATAAATATCTGTCTAAAGTTATATATGTTTTAGATAATTATATATCTAAATATCACAATATTTAATGATTCACAATTGACCCCCTTTTTTTTACTGTCCTCCTTGTTCCTAGGTATATAACTTACAAAACATGCAAGAGACATGCACCTGACTATATAATAGAACAAAAGTTAAATTTCTAAGGAAAAGGCATGCAAATTATAAATCAGGTCTTTTATTAAGAAATGCAAATCAACTGGCGCATCTGCAGTATTCACTACTGAAATTTCCCTACAAATGATGAATGGTTTTGTCAAGACTGAAATATCTACAAGTCTATTTAAAACATTAGGGGTAATAAGGGTTAAAATAAAACCCACACGAATATCAAGGAACTCAACTGATGTCCAATGCCTAAAAACAAAAAAAAAACTGGAATTCTTTTATAGATTAACCAGGCCACATGAAAAATTAAAGAATGTCCCCCTTTATTATGTCTAAAACCTCAGTGTAATTTTATCCCTTTTAAACATAATTCAGAAATGCTGACTTGGAGCTTATAAGTCAGTTAAACGGAACAAGTTTACCTTAATTACTCACCTGAGCAATCTCAAGGTAAGCAGTTAGAAAAGCTCCAAAGAGCATGTTTATTTATGACCAGTGGACAGTGTTTTCTAAAATTTTGTAGAGATAGAAATAGCACTAGAAATACTAAATTAATACCAAGACCCTCGGCTCTATTTCATTTATTTCAGGTTAGGAGCTTTCAATAATTTTTTGGTTTTTAATAAGCAGCGGCACTGAGCAAGACATTTTTTTCACTGCATCACCAGGGCTCTCATTAGCATTTTAAGACTGGGGCCAGGGTCCCTGCATGGGGGGGGGGAGTTGAGCTGAATTGACTATATATTCCTAAAGACTGCCTATTATAATGGTGAATGACCAATAGTTGATACTGGAAAATGATTAGAATAAAATATAAATCTACCTAAAATATGAAAAGATTGCCCCTCTCTTTTTATAAATTGATCATTACAGGTGAAATCTGATCGTTATTTACAGAAATTTCAAGCGTACAAGTTAGTTATTTATAATCATCAGCAGTAAATTATGAAATTGAAAGAAATAACAAATGGTAAAATGTAAACTTATTTTTACCTTCACTAGCTAACTCACTATATTATATCATAGTTATTTTCCAAACTCACTTGACGATATGTACTATTAAACAAAAGTTGGTGTGAATAATGAATTGATCAGATACAGCAAGTAATTTTTTTGAAAATTTCAAATATCATAGATCAAGACTGTTGCAGGTTTTTCTTAACATATTTAACATTTTGAAGGTAAATCTTATATAATTTTTATGGTTAATATAATATAGCCAAACTATGACATTACATCTATATTATGTGGAACAAAGTATATGGGATTAGCAACCAATGAAAAAGATGACAAAAACCAAGTATGAGTGTACACAATGAGTTGTCTAATTGCCGGGTAAACACATAATACCAAATATATCTAGAATAATGATAAAGCATGGATAATTCAGCACAAGCTTGCAGTACTTACGAGGCACCCTCGTGTGCTCGCCATTCTGACCTTGTTGTGTTGAATCATCATACTCTGTAAATTAATTTAAAAATTTAACGTAAACAATTCCTATTCTAAATCAGAGCCCAATGACCATAAAATCAATATTTAGCTTTTTGAACAGGTACCGATCTGCATGATCATCAGAATATCCCTGATATACCACTGACCATAGCTATAATAAACAACAGACACTTGGATGCTTGATCCATCTCTGTAAACTGTCAAAAAAACTTTTTTTTAAACATTTTGACACACGTGAGTCATCCATCTTTAAATCTTATAAAATTATAAATTATAAAAATTGTTTCCAGGCAAATAAAAATCCCACTTACTATCAAGTCCTTATAGAGTTCAGACACTAAAACAAGTTCTTGTTCAACGGTCCAACCAATACAACCAAATTATTAAGTGTCTGTGTCCTGCCTCAATAAACAAACTGTTTAATGCCAGGAACTTTACTTGTGTTGCTTTAACAGGATCATGCTTAATCTACTTTCGTTATCACTAAAGTATTAATTATGGTACCAACTTGTTCTTATATATACCATCAGAAAGATAATTAAAAATTCACATGGAAATTGAATCAAAATAAGTTAGGTCCTACCATAGTCTATTAAAATGTAAGAAGTTACTGAGAATTAACCCGAGTATGAAGGGGTCACCAGCTGACCCCGGTGTCTGTAGTACTGATCAAACATTTCTAACCAGAATTCCAGACATTTCTGACCAGATATTTGGACATTTCAGAGCATCCACTGGACATTTGGTTTATGCCTTAGAAATTTCGAACCAGATTAAGATATAATCATTTATTTATCAATTTTTCTATAAACTAACAACAGGGGTGTCAACAAGTCTAAATTTAAAATCCTGAAAAAGCCGGGGTTTGGGGGCCGCAGGTCCCCATTGGGGTGAAGGGACAAAGTCCCTGTGGGGGGCAAAGCCCCCCAGTAAAAATTGAATTTCAGCATTTTAAGATGCACTAGAAACAATTTCCCCAGTCACTTCACCAATATTTTTTAAATGTATTTGTCATAATTATTTGCCATTTTCATTCGATATATCCTGTACCGGTCGCACTTATACCATTTTTCGTCGATTTCTCGTTAACTACAGTATTGTATCCGTCAATCACAGAGGATTTTTTTAAACAACTGAACCCTTATCCCCATATAATTTTTTCATCGAATTTGCACTTATCTCAGAAAAGACTTTTTGGCGGGAAAATCCGGAATTCCAGACTTTTGACACCCCTGTAACAAGCATCTTCTTTTAATGAGACACCCTGGAAAATTTTTACATCTATCCAATATAACATTCACCATTAAATATAAATATGGCAATACAAAAAGAAAAGCATGAAGTCATATTAATTATCAATTAGTTAAATTGAATATGTCAATCATTTCCATTTATGTTTTAGATAAGTTAAACAGAGCATATCATTATCTACTTTTCCTATAAAAAGGCTTTTGCAAGCATATACCCTATGTTTACAAACATAGTTTAAGTTACAATGTATTTAATTACTTTTTTTTTAACATTTAACTTTATATTATAAATATCTTAATTTGTATAGATTATTAACTCATTAAAACAATAGATATATAGTGTAGCCTAGGTCAGAAAATATGAAAATTGTCCCCGTCATAATCCGATTTGTCCCAAAATAGGCCTAAATAACGAAGAACTAATAGATGACTAGTTCATAATGTCAGGTCTGAACAGGGCGCCGCTGAACACACCATAGTTGTATCATATATAATTATCAAAGTGAAAGTAGATTTGAGAAAAGTGAAATTGATGTCATTTTACTCAACTATTAACATAATCAAACTTTGCATTCACTTCAATCTTCAATCACAGAGATATACTTTAACCTAAAGCAAAATAGATATAGACTCACTGCTGTCAAAAAAAAAAAAACTCTTGACTACCGGCAAATCGACCTAGTTTACAATTAATATTAGAGCATGCGCAGTAGCGACTGTCTTTAAAAATAAATATTTAGGCCTACCTTTTTTATAAAATCAATCAAAAAGATATGGCACTAATAATTAACTAAATTAATATATAACTGGATAGCAGAATTGTTAAAAAACGAAATTGAGAACGAACCTCTTTTAAGCTAAAAAGTCTATGTTGCTAAAAATAGATCGCACATGAAAGAATATGCAAATGAACAAAAGACAATCACGGAAACTACATGTGACGAATTCCTTAACGTTTAAATTCAAATGGTTTACCTCCATTTCAGAATATAGACCTTCTAATAGATTTCATTATTAATATTACAACGTTAAATTGCTTAATCATGTTATATATCTATCTATCCTATATGTCAACCGGCCTAATTAGTTCGCCGAAAATTAACACAATGGATTTTTACCTTCGCCCCCTTCTTCGATTTCCATTCCTTCATCGATCTCCTCATCACTTCTATCGATAGCAGCCATTTTTACAAGATTAAATGTTTCTGCACGAATTTGCAATAATATATAACAATTTAGAATAAATATTAGAAAAATATTCTTTGATTAGTCCGTATTTGTGATCACTTTTCACCGCATCCCGAAAACTGAAGCGCGTGACGTCACTGATTGAATTTCTATCCCATAGTAGTACGCATTAATGAATGGTCACGTGATATTGATTTTTACAAATTATGCGCGATTTGCATTAAAAATAGATACAAAATAAATCATTTGTCATTTTTAAGAGTAGTCGGTTTTTGAAAGATTTTTAGTTATAAATCAGCTGTAATTAAGTATTTAATAGTGATGTATATATTCTAATTTTAATGTCTTGCCATATTTTTAATGTATTTTTTAAACTCCTAGTTCTGAAACATTTTTTCAATAAGATAATTAGATTTGATATTCATGAATCAATTAATGTGAGGACCAAAATAATCAGAAATTTGTGGCAGAAAAAAAATCATGATGTTCCACATTTCTGTTTAAATATGCTTAATTATATAACCACTGTATGTACGTAGATCTAATATAAATCCGTGTTATAACACAGATATATAAATTATATATATTTAGCTCCATGATTATAATAATGTTGTTTTTGTTTCTGTTACTACATGTATATATATATGACGACGAGTGTTATATGTACAATCCCATTTAAGCTTTTTAAATTGACAACCTTATCTGTTTGTTTGTCTAGATATTTTTAAAAATTCAGATCATGTTATTAACAGTGAAACTAAAAAAGAATCTCAAATAGATGCCAGAACTAAACAATCCCTTTAAAGCTGCACGCCTCCAGATGAGCAAAAATATTTCGATAAAATCAAACCTGAGAAAAATGTACTATGATTTCAGGAAAGGTATAAATTTAGATTCAAAATTCTAATAAAAATTTACATGTTATATGTGCGATTAATGACCGAATTTTTCAGTATTGATAACTATACTTCTACTGCGTTACTAACGCAGTAAGGGCTATTTTTGCATATTTTGACCTCTTTGTAGGCTGTAATTAAGTGCCATTGATAATTATGTAAATGCCATAGCATTCTTTTGGTAACTTTTCAATATTATACTGTTAAATACATTTTCAAATTTTCATAAAAATTAGCATGAATCTGGAGGCTTGCTGCTTTAAGTTAGAAAAAGTAAAGCTCTTAGTATGTGTAAGAATTAGTGCTCGTACATTGTATACAAGTCACTGGTCCGGCCATAGGTGGTGGTGGTGGCTTAAATCTGGGACATCTTATGTCCCAGCTTAAATTCACACCAAATCATTATTTTATAGCTGCTTTTTAATATTTGAACTAAATGCGTCCTTTTGAGATGGAACTAAAGCACCGTACGTTGAGCTTCAATTTGTTTTTAAATTGGTTTTGAAAAAATATAACTAGCTTGGAAAAAATGAATTGGTATCTGTTTGTTTACAAAGGCAGTCGGTGCGTGGGTTAATTGGATAGTACATGTATATATATATATACATATGTACATGACAACGCCCACTTATTTTTATGTTCGTGATGTTAGCCAGACAGCCGGAACCCATTTTCGTATACTCCGTCTGTTCCGAAATCCGGTTCTGGCTATACAGGCTGGCCAGAGATGATACGATGAAACCTGTGCAAAAGACCATTGGCTAATTCCATAATGTAATGTCAAATTACTTATCACAACGATCTCCGGCTATTACGTCTAGCCAGAAAAACAGAAATCAATGCTACATAAGATGAAAAAAATCCGAAATCAGATTGAAGAATATATGTCATTGTACGTATGTCCGGTGTCCGCGGGTATAGGTTTGTTCACTTTGTTTGTTCATATTTGTTCGCTATTTAAAAAAAAAACAACATCTTATTTTCAATAAAACAACAAAGGAATGTTGTTTTTAAAAATTTAATCCAAGGGATCATAATGTATTATGACTCCTCCACGCATGATGAATGACCCTCACATGAACACAATATGGACCCCGGCCCCCTATAAAATAACTGTCGACAAATATAAAGTTGTACATGCATTGTTAATAAAGTTGTTGCCACCTATCTAAGGCACAACATAATTAATTATCCCCATTATCCCCACCGATAGGCATCGGAAAAGAATATAGTTATGGTATTGACATCCGTTGGCGTCCGTTAGTGCGTCCGTACGTGTATTTTTTTTGTGTGACCGGAACTCTTTTTACCCTTTTCTTTCATATAAATAAGTATGCATATATACACATGACCCTTTGTGTTACTTTTTCTTATATTGATTTAATAGTTGACTATTTCTACAATGTACATGTACTTAAAACGCAAAAAAATGAATAAATAAAAAATGGCACACATACCCCAAGAAAAACAGCACACTGAAATTTGAATAATTTCTAACGACGAGGGGTGTCATAAGGGCTACCCTACACCCGTTTCGCCTATGTTTGAAAGTATATATATGAATGACATACAATGTATATGTAACATATAGAACGATATTTGACATCACTTTCAGGTGTGGTATAATTATTGTTTTTCCCCTCGACAGAATTAGCTTTATGTACAATCTGGTACTCCAGAAATTGAACTTTTTACCGTCATTTTTTCATAATGGTCCGCGAGCTCATAATATAACGGTATTAGTGCAACATATAGGAAGCAATAACAAAATGATGTTGTTTTTGTTTTGTTTTGTTTTGCATTGAAATCAGACAAAATGACAGACAGCCAAAAGGTTATGGGGCTGTTAAAGGTACTATCTCGCCGAATCTTGGAAAATCGGGGGGGGGGGGACTGTTGAAATACTTAAAGCATATGATATGCCTTTATGCATTGGCAGAATGACGAAGCGCCCGAAACGGCTACAAATTTAAATATAATTTCGGAAGGGAACGTTAGTGACAATGAACTTGATACACAAGATAATACTAATGAAGATGAAATCACTGAGGACAATGAAAATGTAAGTGAAAGACATGAATATTCTGAGTCAGTGATTTTGAAAGAAATTGTACTTGCATTACAAAGCAGTGTAAATGAATTACGTCAGGAAGTATCACAACACATTGATTTTTCAAAGGAACAATTCGTGCACATTAAAGATGAAATCATGAGTGTGAAGAAAAAGATATCTCTTGAATCCAATTCGTTAATTAAGCAAGTTGATGTGATCAATGAAGCGGCAAAATCCATCGAAACACAAGTGAAATCGGTAGATTATTCTATCCACAAAAAATTACAATCTATAACAGATATTCTTAAGATGAAGGTGTGCAGTTTTTTGGATTCGCAGGAAACGAATGTCTCTAAGGATGATATAAATCAAAATATCCACATTAGCGAAAAATCACCGAAACATGATGAAAAACATACGATGGAAGGAACAATACCGAAAACTATTCGATATATTCAAACTAATATTGCGGACAGTCATACTAAAAGTGTCACGAATAATACAGAGATGGTAAAACGACAACGTAGATCTTTTATAGATATATCAGACAGTACAGCACCAGAAAAACCAGTTTCAAGATCAATCCCGGAAACGCTTATAATAGGCGATTCAATTATAAAGGGAATAAATCAACGCGGGCTTCACACTTTTACAGAGACATACTGCATAAGAGGAGCTGTTGTGAGAGATATATCACATAAGTTGTGTAACTGGAATATATCTGGTTGCAAAAATGTCATCATTTGTGTAGGCGGAAATGACGTTGCTTCAAGCACATCAACAACTGTAAGTAGCATAGAATTAACAAAGACCATCAACTACTTATATCAACATGGCATTAACGTATATTTATGTACAATATGCCCGAGAATAGACGTCGATGTAACTCCGATGAACATTGCCATTAGAAAAATTTGTTATGAAACAGGTGCAACACTGATAGATTCATATAGTTCATTTGTGTATGGAGATGGAAATGTAGTGAAGCATATGTATCATCGTGATGGAATTCATAATAATACAAGAGGGTCTAGTGCGTTGGTAAGGTGTATTAACAAATCGCTGACTATTGTAAAGACGAAACAAGCAATGACTGGTAGATATCATACAGATACACAGAACACAAAACGTCAAGAACAACAGAAAAATGGATATTGGCAATTCCGAACAGAACCTAAAATCTTTGGATCTCTGTGTAAAATATGTGGTATGAACAATCATAAAACTGTTGACTGTAGATACCGTGAATGGTAGGAAAAAGCAGACAGACACCTGTTTATTAATCAATTTGATACAGATAGCCTATTTATTGGCGACGCCGGTGAGCGGCGTCGTCTTATATGGAATGCTTTTTATTTTTGCCTATGGAAGGAGCTGTTATTATTAGCAGTTAATTTCATGTTGAGTTAATTAGATTTATTTTGATTCGTAAAAATCAAGTAAACAAATATGTTGTTATATTTGTATTTAATAACTTTATATAGAAAGCATGTGCATTGTGATATTATTTTCACGAAATTGCAGGCTCAGTTTAACAGCTTGTCCCTTAGTTTTATTGACAATACTAAAACCCGGATTTCGAATATCGTTGTGGTCTACATTGATGCCGTATCCATTCGTCATTCATTTATATATTTTCAAAATTTTCTTACAAGAAGAAAGTTCACATGCAAATGAGTATAAGGATAGGTAATGAACTGTTGTTAACGATTATCATATTGATTTTATCCATATTACGTTGATCTGTTGCACAGAATGGTTGTTTTTTACAAAGTGTACCAGTATCCGGATGTTGAAAGCTATCCGATTTTCTGCAATGACTGCTGTCACATGGTCATCTATTTTTTTATGAATACTTTACCATTAATTTGCATGGCTTAATAAAACTGACTGAGCCTGCAACATTTCGTAATTTTAATGTTTAGGGTGTTCTTTTGGGTTTCAGGTTTTCTCTATTTTAAGGGGAAGTAACTCATGTTTACTAAATTATTTGTTCTTTTCTGTCTACTCTATCTTTAGTATTACTTACTATTTTTTGTTTTGTTTTTTTTTATAAAATTTACCAGTTGTAAGGTCATCAAAAGCAGAGAGGCCCTGATGAGTGAATATTAATATATATTTTTACTGGCTTTATATACCCTAGACCAGATTTTTCTAGTTTGTTCAGTTGGTATCCTGTTTTCTCGTATTCTCGGGGGGTTAAGG